CTTCTGCCTCTCCTTGTCCCTCTCCTCCTCCCTCTTCTCGTACCTATCCTCGTCCTTCTCCTTGTGACTCTCCTCGTGCCTCTACTCGTCCCTCTTCTCGTCCCTCTCCTTGTCTCTCTCCTCGTGCATTTTCTCATCCGTGGCGCTGGAGCTGTGGCCAGCAGGGAGAGCGCTAGGCCCAGCGAACGCCCCATCACTCGCCACTCGGCCTCTAAAGGGTTTCCAGATAACAAACTCACCGCCTCTTCACCAATGTTTTTTTCAATAATTTTGAACAAACTACGTAAATTAAATTAAACGTTGGTCTAATTATTGGTATTGTGTACAGCCCCTTGTGTCTGTAAACGATGGAGTTCAGATAATTTTCAATCGTTGACACTAACTGTGGTGAAATCAGTGAATTCAAAAGTTGCCAAACCTCGGTGGTAACGGCACTCGACGCCGAGCGGATCTGCCGGATGGCGCGAGGAGCAGCGGAGCTGCAGGGGCCGAGCGAGGCAAGGGCATCCTCCTCTGCTTGACGGAGGAGGAGGCTGGGCCAGGGGAGCACTGCAGGGCTCCTCATGACGGTGCCACCACGTGGGGAACGTCCTCCTCACCGGCCACGTCACCAGCGGTGACCGAGAGGCCGGTCGGGAGAGGTCTCTGTGAGAAGTTCTTTCACATTTCAGTGTTGACCACAATTTTGTATCATCTTTTAAATAATCAATTACATTTTTATAGTCACTGTATTTGGCAACTGCAGCCGTCTTAGATCCTGCAGTGCCGGTGCTACCTCTCTTGCCGTGGAACAGGAATCACTCCTCTAGTGAAGTGGCAACGCATGAGCAGCAGGGCACGGGGTGGCCTCTCTCGGTTGGTGCCGTGTGGTCAGGACCCTGAAAAAGCCTAAGTCAAGAAAATGAAAATCTTGACTTAAAGCTTTCGTGCAGGAATTCATATTGTTGGGTCTTTCGGTAAAGTCACATAGATAGGTTCAAAGAAAATAACACAAAATTTCAAAAACTACAACGTTTTGATCGCAACACAAGCGGTCATCTTCAGGGAATTAACTTCCACAAGGCAAAATGTTTATAAGGGTTTGAAATGGGCGTAGCCCAAATGTCAGCAGCCAACCCGATGGTGGTTGGTTTTCCACCAATCAAAGGGCTGCCAGGTGAAAATTTGCATGTTAAAGAGAGATTAGCATGTTCATGGAAGATCACAGCGCTGCAACCAAGGGGTCGGCATGCAAAGTGGCTGTGAAAGCGCAAGTTTGAAATGGGCGTAAAGCACAACTAACATCGGAAGGGGGTAGGATGGGAACATCATAGCGAATTATGACTTGAACTGGTTGATAACGTCCTTCCAATGACCTTCCAATGATTGCTCAGTTTGTACCCATCTTCTCGGTTGAAATTGTGTCTGTGTCTATATATATATGGATGTCTACATCTGATTGTAAACATGTAGATAACATGATAGCATCTTCAGCTGCTTCAATGTCCAAGTTCAACCTCCTTTCTAAGAAGAAGCCAGATCCACACATCAAAAAGTTAGACGTTGACAAGATTGTTATTCAGAGTAACAGTCCAATTTCAGACAGCCTAAAATCGGTTCTAGCCAAAGGGTTGAATTTCGCAGTCACTCCTAAACACATCCCAGTTGATGATATCATTGCCCAGGTCGACGTAGCCCTTAAGGGTTTGGGACACATTACTGCAGACGTGGCGAGATCGGAACTTGCTGCAATCCTCAAAAACGCTAAGACACCCATTAGCAACATCAGTAAAGATGAGCGCTTTGAGCTTTCTCAATGAAAAAAGAGAGATGACATCGTCATCCTCTCAGCTGACAAGGGCAATGCCACTGTCATCATGGACAAAACCACATACAATAACACAATTCAGGATCTACTTAATGATGTTAGCTATACCAAAATTCAAAGAGATCCCACCAAACCGCCTCGTTACGAAAACTAACAATATTATCACTGATTCGACATCTTTGATCGAACCAACCAAGCGGGTTTCCTTAAAACTTTCTGCTGCTAAACCACCCAGATTGTATGGCTTACCAAAAACTATAATGAAGGGACACCCCTTCGTCCTATCTTCTCCACCATTTACTCACCCACCTACAAACTGCCAGATTTCTGTCTGAGACCTAACAACCATTCACTGGTAAGACCACCTCAGCTGTACTCAACTCAGCTCACATGGTATCATTAATTAAGGACATCTCACTATCTCCAGGTGATTTGCTCGTTAGTTTCGATGTGGTCTCTTTGTTTACCAAAATTCCTGTGTTTGACACCATTGCAATCATTGAAGATTTGGTCCAACAAGGACTGAATGCTGATGCCCTGGTGAGATACTGCCTCACCAACACTTACTTCACCTGGAATGGAACATTCTCCAAACAAGTTGAAGGTACCCCAATGGATTCTCCGTTATCTCCAGTTTTAGCCAATGTTTTCATGGAAAATTTTAAGACATGCCATCCAGGCATCCACTCTATGTCCGTCCTTGTGGAAGAGGTACGTAGCTGACACGTTCGTCATCTGGCCACATGGCTGACCACCTCTGAACCAATTCCTCAACCACATCAATTCCATACACCCAGCCATCAAATTCACCATGGAGGTGGAAAAGGATGGCAAGTTAGCATTATTGAATCTTTTAATCGAAAAGAGACCATATGGATCAATGGGACACTGTCTACAGGAAAGCCACCCATACGGATGCCTACCTAAAACCTGACTCCCACCACCATCCATCCCAGAAAATTCCCTCATCATCGTCATCACCTAGCCAGTGAACTGTAACACGTACACCAAGCTCTCAAGATGAATGGATATTCAGACTACACAATACGTAAAGCTACAGTATCACCCAAAATAACTATCTGAGGACCCAATCAAAACCATCACCTTGCCGTACATAGCAGGGGTCACTAAAAAGATTTCCAAAATCATGAGCAAACACAAGATCCAGGTTCGATTTAACACTGCATAAAATTTGTGATCTGATCCCATCTGTGAAGGATGTGATCCCTGACATGCAATACCCCGGCGTCTAAAAACTAAGCTGTGTCGGTGGCAGTAGTTACATTGGGGAAACCAAGAGACATGTCTCGGACCGTGTTCGTGAGCATAAGGCAGATCTGAAACACGGTAGGACCAATTCCTCGGCCGTGGCTGATCATTGTTTTAATGCGGTGGGCTAACACAAAATGTATTTCTCAAAGACGAAGGTACTTTGCAAGCCCACTGGCTATCAACACACATTCGTTCATGAAGCTATCCATATATATAGACACATACACAATTTCATCCAACAAGATGGGTACAAACTGAGTTATTATTAGAAGGACGTTATCAACCAGTTGAAGTCATAATTGGCTATGATGTTCCCATCCTACCATCTTCCGATGTTAGTTGTGCTTCACGCCCATGTCAAGCTTGCGATTTCACAATAACTTCGTGCGCCGACCCCTTGGTTGCGGTGCTGCAATCTTCCATTAACATGCTAATCTCTCTTTAACATGCGAATTTTCACCTGGCAGCCCTTTGATTGGTGGAAAACCAACCACCGTCGGGTTGGCTGTCCACAACTTACATTATTATTGGCTGCTGACATTTGGGCTATGCCGATTTCAAACCCTTATAAACAGTTTGCCTTGGAAGCTAATTCCTCTTTTCCTGAAGACGACCGCTTGTGTTGCGATTAAAACGTCGTAGTTTTTTTTGTATTTTAAATGTATTTTAAATAAATCCAGGAAGATACCCCACCCATAGCCGATTAATATTTTTTCCCAGTTAATTTTTTCTACATCTGCAATCATTTCTGTTTTGTAAAATTCGTTGATGAATCGTGTTCTAAGCAACTTTTAGGGTGAGTTATGATGCTTAGCGAATCCATTACAGACCTCCAGTGAACGCTCATATTCATACCTAACATTCCCACAGAGACCGCGTGTGTAGAGGCTGTGATTAGCAACACAGATGTCGGAATCCTGCAGCGCTGTACTAGGGCAATGTCCAGCTGTGCAGCAGCGTCGCGTCTCTCGAGACGCAACGTATCCGGCACCGCCTGGCAGCGTAGCATGGTCCTGCCCCGCTCACCACACCGCACTCTCTCCGACGCAGGCGGCGGTACCGCTCGCGTTCTCTGCGTCGAGTGAAGCTCCCGGCCGTAGGAACCGGCGAAAGTCCACGCACGGTGGCTGGGCAGCCCCGGCAGGGTCCTCTGGGAGTGGCGGGGAGAGCGCCGTGTGGCTGCGAGGGCAGCTGGGTCACAGCAACAGTGAGCAGCTCCTCTCATGGGGATTGCTGCAGCCGCACGGCAGCGCACTCAGTGGCCACAGCTTGCAGCCACACACAGCACATGTGGTGCATACGGAGCACAGCAGCACACACAGCACAGGTGGTGTGGCACGCACAGCAGCCATGGGGTGGGCTCACTCTCCATGCAGTGCCCCCACCCACGGGGCCCCTCCCTCACCGTGGAGCCGTGTGGAATGGGGCCACTCGGTGAGTGACCTCACCGGTTTGTGTGGAGGTGGCAGGGTGGCTCAGAGGGGGTGCCTCGTGGTTAGCGCTGCGCCACGAACCCGGCGACCCGAATTCGATTCCAGCTCACGACCAACACCAGTGACGATTATCTGAACTGATCCTGGGCCTCGCCTAGGTCAACTCAGCCTCAAATGACTTTCTGGTACGATATGGAAACAGAGCCACGAGGAAGAGACGGGCGTGGTGCTGGACACCAACCCCCTCGTGTGGATGCTGCTCGCTAACAGCCCTTGCCCAAACAGTCAGTTAAGGCTATACAGGGGATCTTTATCTTTTTGGATGGCTCAGAGGTCAGAGCTCCTCGCTGGCCTCGCTGCATTGTGCAGCGTGCTGTATCACCACACCTGCACGGTACAGCTGTTCTGTATCACTACGCCTGCACAGTGCAGCGTGCTGTATGACTGCACCAGAGTCAGAAGATGACTCATTCCTGCTTTGCCCCCAGACGATGCAGCCGGGAGCCGAGCTGGATGAAGATGCACTACAGGAAATCCTCCCCGAGGTGAGGTGGCTCCCAGGGTTCCCTCGGCTCCAGCGTGGCACCACGCACGGCGCTCGGGGGTGCCGCATGGCGCGCGGTGCACGGGGGGCGACGCGACGAGCGCGATGCCCGGCCTGCGTTCGTAGAGCAACGTGACACCGCGCTCGCTGCACATGCTGCACTCCACGCGTCCACGCTGCGCTCCGAACACGGCAGCCGTGCGTCGTTACACCTGGACGCGGTCAGTGGGATCCCATGCTCCTTATATTTGTAGTTGGTATCAATTGACGAATCAACTTCTGATGAGGCAAGACGATATTTATTGTTCTTCTTAAAAATCCCTAACACAAAGGGTATATCGGTCCTCTTACCCGATACCTGGGGAGGTATGGCCTCCGGACTATACAGGCCCTATCACTGGGTACCCCGTTACCCTTCGTCCTCCAGCTGGGGCCCTAGGGGAGGCTATCTGACCCGACCGTACCCTGTCCGTGGGTCCTGGTCTCACTGAGCTCCGGCCTTGGAAGGGCAACGGAGCTTCGGGTCTAGGGTCTTATCCTTCAGGGACCTATTCTCCCCTGACCACTGGCCTGAGCTCCGACCCTGAGAAGGACATCGGTGCTTGGGGTCCAGGGTCCTATCTTCAGCCCAGGTCTTCGTTCTTCAGCTTGCAGATGACTGAGCCAGACCTCTGAGAGGTCCGGCTTATATACTGGTTCGTTGCTTGCTCCGCCCTAGCCATGCCTCCCTTCTAGAATTTTCTGGAAGATGACATCACCCTCCGGCTTTCCCCTCCTGGGGCCCCAGGGAATGTGTCCCAGGATCCGTTTGCTGGGGTTTTTCGTTGGCCCATTTTGGGCCATGGACATTAACCTTGGCGTGATAGTGCTTTGATGATAAGGGGAAGCTCCCAGCCCACAGAGTAGTGAGTGACGATTACCCCTACATATTGATAAACAGTCGTGGAGCTAAACATCGACAAATAATATAATAATAAAACATTATTGGAGCTGTATTGTGGGAGGAGAGGGCAATGCAGAAGTATTATCGTGCTATAAATATTCTCATGTCTATTCTCCTTACTTTCCTGAACCCACAATGACCAGTGTGGTGAAGTATGGTCAAATTACCCCCCCCCCCAACCTGCACGGCGTGGGGAAGCCCTCATACAGCAGTGGATTGACGACACGGCCTACACACGTCCATGTACACACTGCCATCTACAATTCTCAGATGACGAATTTGCTTTATTACAACAAAACCCGACCGTGATACAACACGCCGAGACATTCCAATAACGGGGTACAAAAAATCGGCAGTAATCCATTGTGACGTGACTGAACCACACGACAGGGGGAGGGAGGAAGGGGAAGAGGCCCCCGGCCCAGCCAAGTAGGAAGCTCGCATTAAGGCGGAAAAGCCAGGGATAGGGTGGATTGGAGAGGGGGAACAACTAACCCCCTAATAAACAAGTTGACCCACACGCGGCTGGTGGGTTTACCAAGCGGCCTTTCACCACTCCTCATTCCACTGCCGCTTGACCGCCGAGGGTCTCTGCCCCTCTTTTTTTGTCCCGACCTCCCCGCCCCTCCTCATCCGCCCCACTCATTGTAGACCAGTGGTTCTTAACCTTGTTGGAGGTACCGAACCCCACCAGTTTCATATGCTCATTCACCGAACCCCTCTTTAGTGAAAAATAAAATGTGATTTTTTTCAAATTCAAGACGTAGATATGTTTTTTACTGGTACACAAAATGAACCGTGCATGAACATTACCTTGTTCAAAGAATAAAACCAACACAATGCATAAACTCACAACAAATTACATACCTGGAAATCAATGTGACTTCTGCTGTTGCCTTTGAGAGATCAGTTCAGATATGCGTGGCTTCACCTTGGCAAGTGCCACTCTCATGTCATTTTCACAGCAAAGTCTGTTCCTTTTCTTCGTTTTTATGTCCAGCATCCTCGAAAAGGATTGCTCACAAAGATATGTTGTAACAAATGGTATAAAAAAATCCAGGGCTTTCTTAGCAATAACTGGATACTTGTTCATTTGTCGACACCAAAACGTTGAGAGCGTTGTTGTTCTGAAGAGTTGCTGTTGAACCTGGCTCTGCTGAATTTCAATGATTTCGTCGAGGAATTCATCATTGACATCTGCTGTTTCAACAGCAAACGTGAACGGCTGTCTCACCCATGCTGGATATGACTCTCTTGTAGGGAAATATCCGTCGAGAGACTTTGCAAGCTCATCTAAGTGCGTGGCAATTGTTTGCTTCAGTTCCGTGGATACAGAAATATCTCCGATTCCAGACACATCTTCGATCTTACTTGCACAGTCGTCCAGAAGCGGGAAGTTTGCGAAGTTATTGTTCTCTGTTCGTCGTTTCCATAACGGTAGCTTTTTTGAAAAGCCTTCAGGTGTTCTTCCGCTTCCATGATATTGACTCCACCACCCTGCATCTGCTGATTGAGATGATTGAGAGCTGCGAATATATCAGCCATGTACGCTAAAATGAGAATGAACTCAGGATTTTTGAAGCAATCTGCATGGCAGTGTTGGTGCTCTTGCAAAAACAGGGCTAATTCCACACGCATGGCAAAAACACGATTCAGCACCTGTCCCCGGGATAACCACCGAATATTAGAATGGAGCAGAAGTACCTCAAATTCAGAGCCCATTTCTTTACACAGCTCACTGAAGATGCGGTGCCTCAGAGCACTTTTTCGCACATAGTTCACACATTCCACCACAGTTTTTAATACTTCTGCCATTTTTGGAGGTAAGGTTTTTGTTGCCAACGCATGCCTGTGCAGAATACAATGCGTCACAATGATGTGTGGTGCATCGGCCTTTACTAGCGCACCAAAACCAGACTTTCTTCCCAGCATGACTGGAGCTCCGTCCGTACAAACTGCAGAAACCATATCCCATGAAAGATTGTTGTCTCTGAAGAAGTCATCCACAAGCTTCTTCACATCGGCTGCCTTCGTTGTTGTTGTAAGAGGCTTACAAAATAAAAACTCTTCTTTTATCATGTCGTCTTTCACATAGCGTACAAAAACAGCAAGCTGGCTTAGATCAGAAACGTCTGTGGTTTCGTCGAGTTGAAGGCTGAATTTTGCCAGGCTTGAAATCAGATCCGCGACTACTTGAGCCAAGATGTCTTTACTCATGTCTTCTATTCTGTCACTGACGGTGTCATTTGAAAGGGGAATTTGGGATAATTTACCTTCGGCCGCTGTTCCGAGTATAGGATTCGCCATCTTTAATGCAGCTGGTTTCACAAGTGTTTCACCAATGGTGTGTGGCTTGCCCTGCTTTGCGATCAGGTAAGCAACTTCGTACGATGCTGTCAGGATCGGTTTGTTAACAGGTACAAATCCAAGAGCAGGCAGAGTGGCCCTTTCATCGAATCTGGCTCTCTTCACCCTGAATTCAGCAAGTGTTGTGTTCTTGTATTCCCCGTCTCCATGCAGCTTCAAGAAGTGTTCCTTTAGTTTTGCCGGTGCAAGACTAGAGTTGCTCAACTTGGGGTTGCAATTCATGCAGATAGGACGCTCACTCCCATCACGTTCCGTGATACATGAGAATCCATGTTGTACATATTCGTCCGACCACTTTCTTCTTTTGCCCGACATAGTTAGTATGGATAAAATATTAAAGAAATCACACGACGTACGACAACAACAGTCACACGTTGACTACTGAGTACGCACTAAATTCCCCGCAGCGCTGATTGGCCAAGCAGTGTAGCATGATCATCTGCAGCCAGTGATGGCCAAGCGGGCCGTGTGTGTCATCACAAATTTACACAATAATTCAAGTGTGTCCGGACCTCCGTGGCGGGGGCTCTGCCGAACCCCTGAGATCGACTCACCGAACCCCTGGGGTTCGATCGAACCCAGGTTAAGAACCACTGTTGTAGACTATGTAGAAATGGAGACCACGTGACTTCGAGCTCCTACTCCCTCCCTTTAATCTTGTGGCTCAAGTGCTCCATGCCCGCCTGTGTCAGGTGGGTGTTGTGTGTTGTATACAGCCTTTTTTCCATCATTAATATCAATAAAATATTTGCCAATATATGTATATATTTTTTTCGAAATAGTGAATGAAAACAACACGTAAGCCAAAAAGACGCCTTGTTCTCCCGCAGCAGAGAGCTGAGATAAGCACCCGAAGGCCAGGCAATTATCACAGGCTGTGTCCAAGGGAGAGAAACTTAAATAAACAACATGAGAAGGTCGTGAAAAGGGCCGGTTAATTGAAATTAAAATAATGAAGCAAACAGAGTGCAGCACAGCAAGCTGCAGGGTGATGTAAGCGCGGAGCCTAGGGTCACCGAGAGTTCGCGTTGGCCTAAACATAATTAAGTCAAAAAGCTCATCCATTTATCCTGCATTGCTTTTAAAGTAACGTGAAAGTTCGAAATTCAACAACAGGAGTAGGCTAACATTGCCGATCCTCACGCTCGCTCCAATTGGAGACCAGGCTACGAAGTACATCAGTGAACCATTGCCCATTTGTTGGTTCAAGACTGTTAATTAATCTTTAGTGGTTTCTGCACAACCTGACCGATGCATATGACAATCAGAATTTTCCTAAGTCAAAACGGATTCTCTAACCTCCGGACATAAGCAAATACGAATGCAGTGTTCATTTAAGGTTAGAGAGGGAAAAACACGTAAGCCAAAGAGCCTGAGCCAAAACAAACCAAGGGCGTGGAAAGAGAGGCAACACTGAATGCAGCGTGTGAAACTGACCTCGGCACGCTAGAGATAAGAGTGGAAAGAATCAGAGCCAACTCATTATTGCTGCCACCGGTACTCGCGAGAAGGGAGAGTCTGTAGATAACACTCCCCCACCACAGCCAGACGGAATGACGAAATTAATGAGGAACCTTGAGATGAACGGTGTGTGTAGACGGAAAAGCAGCTCAAAGCGCAGCCCTGAAGGGAAGACTGAGAGAGTTACCACAGGCTATCTGTGCTCAGTTAACAGCTGCACGATAATGGGGAGAGATGTCTTGGAACAAAGGCATCAGCAAAACCATGCAAATAAATTTTAAATTAAAGATATCTCAATATATATAATTTCATACGTAACATTAATGTTAACGCTATTCACCGTAAGCTATATTCCGCTTACATAACTTTGCAGATACTTGAGCGATGTAAAACCGGGGGCCAGGGAAAAGGAGAGTCTCCCAGCCGCCTTTGTCTTCCTGCACCACATGATAAGACCATTCATATGCTCAAGGGAGCATCTTCTCTTGAAATAAAGTTAAACACCACGATGGAAACTAAAACAACAGACCTCGAGTCACATACAGAATCATAACTGTAAAACTGTGATGAGATGAAATTTTAACTTTAAAAACCTTAACCATTTCTTTGCGTCGGTGAAGGTCGCACCGGAGGGAATATCGCCCCTCCCTCCAGGTTGTGCCATACAGACAGAGACGCCTGTGAGACGATTTGGAGCACCTGTTGTTATGGTTTGTGGAAAGAGGAGGTAGCGGCGCGTGCCGTATGACGCACACAAAGACACACATACACAAGGACGCACATACGGACACGCGCTCCAGACCACGACACACAGCTAAATCAAAAGAAGCTCCGCCTTGTGGGGAGGAGCCAAGAGGAGGGATTTTGGCATAAATGAATACGATTATATATTGAATTAGCATAATCTATAAGCATAATTACACAAATTAACATAATTTCGGATGAAATATTCAAATTTCATATATTTTTCATTATTTCCATCAAATTTTCATAACCTACATATACAACATGTGCCAGGGGGGTGTTGTGCCAGGAGGATGTCGTGCCAGGGGGGTGTTGTGCCATGGCGTGTTGTGCCAGGGGGGTGTTGTGTCACCGTTTTCATTAAGGAGATTTGTGCTCCTTCCAATTGGCCAGTCATCTTCCTGGCTATGATGCTAAAGGGTTGGAGTAGGGTTGTGCTGGTGTCTCGTAACGGTAGCGGGTTTCAGGCCCCACAGATTATATTCGACCGACGGGGAGAGGTTAGTGCCACGTGTCATTGAAAAGCACCAGAATATCGTAATGGAGATTTGCAAAGTCCGGACATTGGCCAAAAAGCATGGAGGAGCTCTTGAGGATGAATGATGCAGGAGCCCTTGCAATGAGCACGGCTCGGCACACGCAGTTGGACACGGGCAGTGACATTGACGATGATCCTCACGAGAGTGACGTGAAGACGAGTGCAGCAGGCAGCGTGCGTCCATTTCTACCCCTCCACTCTGTCTCCCTGTCTCTCGCTATGAGCGCAGTTACGAGAGAAGTTGAAAGCGGAGACTGAGAAACGAGGTGAGGAGCACTCAGCGTGTGTCATTTACACTCAGTGTGTGTCACTTACACTCAGCGTGTGTGTCACTTACACTCAGTGTGTGTGTCACTTACACTCTGTGTGTCTCTTACACTCAGTGTGTCACTTACACTCAGTGTGTGTGTGTCACTTACACTCAGTGTGTGTCACACTCAGTGTGTGTGTCACTTACACTCAGTGTGTGTCACTTACACTCAGTGTGTGTCACTTACACTCCGTGTGTGTCACTTACACTCAGCGTGTGTGTCACTTACACTCAGTGTGTGTGTGTCACTTACACTCAGTGTGTGTCACACTCAGTGTGTGTGTCACTTACACTCAGTGTGTGTCACTTACACTCAGTGTGTGTCACTTACACTCCGTGTGTGTCACTTACACTCAGCGTGTGTGTCACTTACACTCAGTGTGTGTGTGTCACTTACACTCAGTGTGTGTCACTTACACTTAGTGTGTGTGTCACTTACACTCAGTGTGTGTCACTTACACTCAGTGTGTCTCTTACACTCAGTGTGTGTGTCACTTACACTCAGTGTGTGTGTCACTTACACTCAGTGTGTGTGTCACTTACACTCTGTGTGTCTCTTACACTCAGTGTGTCACACTCAGTGTGTGTGTCACTTACACTCAGTGTGTGTGTCACTTACACTCAGCCTGTGTCACTTACACTCAGTGTGTGTGTCATTTACACTCAGTGTGTGTGTCACTTACACTCAGTGTGTGTCACTTACACTCAGTGTGTGTGTCACTTACACTCAGCGTGTGTCACTTACACTCAGTGTGTGTGTCACTTACACTCTGTGTGTCTCTTACACTCAGTGTGTGTCACTTACACTCAGTGTGTGTCACTTACACTCAGTGTGTGTGTCACTTACACTCAGTGTGTGTGTCACTTACACTCCGTGTGTGTCACTTACACTCAGCGTGTGTGTCACTTACACTCAGTGTGTGTGTCACTTACACTCAGTGTGTGTCACTTACACTCAGTGTGTGTGTGTCACTTACACTCAGTGTGTGTCACTTACACTCAGTGTGTCTCTTACACTCAGTGTGTGTGTCACTTACACTCAGTGTGTGTCACTTACACTCAGTGTGTGTCACTTACACTCAGTGTGTGTCACTTACACTCCGTGTGTGTCACTTACACTCAGCGTGTGTGTCACTTACACTCAGTGTGTGTGTCACTTACACTCAGTGTGTGTCACTTACACTCAGTGTGTGTGTGTCACTTACACTCAGTGTGTGTCACTTACACTCAGTGTGTCTCTTACACTCAGTGTGTGTGTCACTTACACTCAGTGTGTGTGTCACTTACACTCTGTGTGTCTCTTACACTCAGTGTGTCACTTACACTCAGTGTGTCACTTACACTCAGTGTGTCACACTCAGCCTGTGTCACTTACACTCAGTGTGTGTCACTTACACTCAGTGTGTATGTCACTTGCACTCAGCGTGTGTGTCACTTACTCTCAGCGTGTGTGTCACTCAATGCTGGATTATGGACCGGGACAGTGGGGCCAGTGTCCCGGGGCCTCGGGCTGCCAGGGGGCCTCCATCCTCAAACCGCGCGTAGTGCATGGCCCAACACTTCCGAAGGAAGTTGAACGCCAGGGCCCTCAGTGCGCACAGCGCAAGCTGACCACTAGGCCCCTGGGTGCTTATGACGTGGGCTAACCACTAGGGCCCCCGAGACCCATCAGTGCTTACAATGTGAGGGCCCCCAGACCCCTTTGTGTTTAAAACGTGAGCTGACCACTACTGCCCCCCAGACCCCTTAGCACTTATAGTGTGAGGGCCCCCAGGCTCCGTGGCGTTTAAAGAGTGAGCTGACCACTACGACCCCTCGGCCGCTGGGGCTTAAAGCGTGATCTGACCACTAGTGCCCCTGGGCCCCTCGGCACCTACAGTGTGAGGGTCACTGGGCCCCTCCACACTTAAAGCATGAGCTTACCACTAGGGCCCCCGGGCCCCTTGGTGCATACATCGAGCGTAACACCTGGGCACCTTGATACATACAGTGCATGCTTTAAACGAGAGCCTCTTGGAGAATACAGTGCTTCTGTACAACTGAGCCACTGGTTGGCACGCTACAATATGCTGTGACATGATACAATATTCACCAACAAGTAAGTTCATTCTGCATAACAGGACAGTTTGAAGGGCATCATATTATGGCAAGCCATTCGTTATTTGACTTACTGTAACTAGCTATCCCTTTATTTTAGCTAGCTGCCCGTTTTCCCTAGCTGGCTGCCCATGTGATTCAGCTTGTTAAGAGACATAAGTGAACTAGCTGCCATTTTTGACAGCTGCACTATAAAGCCAGCTAGTGAGACCGAGGGCTCGTCATTTGTTGAGAGCTTAGTTAGCCGTTGAAAAATCAATTATAAAAATTTTTAGAAATATGCCAAAAGCTATATTTTTCATACACTAACGCATATATACGAGACCCAATCCATACTTAAAGATTAAGGAAAACCCCTTTCATTTTTTTATAGACTGTCTATTAATCGGTCCACGGAAGTAGATAATGCTAACGTTGACATGCAAATTGTCGACAGCTCTTTCGAGGTCTTGTGGACTATGTGAATAGTCTCCACCAAGTCATTTCACTGATATCAGAAACCTTTGTTGGTTGTTAAGCCAATGAAAAAAAAGTTTACTTTGGAATTTCAAGCAATATTATTATCTTTGTGTCGGCAGGTATATAAGCCATTTATTGGGAGGAAAAGCCACCGACAGATGCCTGTTTTCTTGCTTAGTACGCAAAAATAATATATTCAGAGACTTTTTCCATCTTTTTCTAAACCGACAGCCTTTTAAAAGGCTATTTCAACAATCCCTTCTAATGGTCTATTTTTTAACAGCCTTTTTAAGGGGTTAGAGTAATTTTCCTTAATGTGATTTTCTTTTATCTATTCAAAGCTGCCTTTAGGTACAAGTAGACTATAAAATACTACGACTTGATTGTATTTTCCAACAACAGGATTTGAAAGGTGTTGTCATTATTTTTATATATATATTAATGCAATTATTATTGAATACGTCTTGAGATATGCTATGAATATATTCATATGAATAGCAAAAGGAAAGCCAAAAAGGAAAAGGAGGCAAGTGAGGCAGTTTTGCTTCAAAGTGTTCCACTCATTGTCAACTTCTTTCAAAAACCCTCTGATAGTAATAATGATGACAGCAGCACTATTGTCAGCTGTGAGGAAGGAACTAGCACTAGTTAAGTTTCCAGTAATGTTGTCACTCCCCCAGAGCCATCCTTTGAAGGCGAACCCTCAACAGCTAATGGTATACAAGAACTATCATTTCCACCTCAGGAGCAGTTGGGCAGTTCACAAGAATCAAATCAGCAACCAAGCCATTCCTGGTGCTATGAAGTCACTGACCCTGCATTATGGCAAAGCACTTTCAGTGATTGTTCAGTCAGTGCTTATTGAAAGAGGAGCAGTCCCCTTCAAAAACCGCAGTGAAAAATACCCAGCTTCAGTCCGAGATAGAGCGCTTAGTGGAAAGACTAGAAGTTTCAACAATGAACTTCTGAACTGTATATTGCCAAATGAGCCACTTGAGAGCCACACTGGTAAAAGTTTAGCAGACTGTGTGACTTTGATGGTGGAGGGCCTTGGGTTGGACCTCTCAAACTGTAGAGGTCAGTTTTATGACAATGCAAGCAACATGTCAGGAAAATACAATGGGCTACAGGCCCACCTGAAACAAAAACACCCTCTGATAGAGTATGTGCCTCGCGCAGCGCATTCACTTAACTTAGTGTTAACACCTTAGATGGCAGTAGCCCAGAGGCTGACGAGTTTTTTTTTTACATGGTGCAGTCACTGTACACATTTTTCTCTTCATCCACACACAGATGGGGGAAGTCTTTCGGAAGGCAGATGTCAGACTGACATTAAAATCGCTGTCCAGTACTCGGTGGAGTGCTTGGGCAGAGTCAATCAAGGCACTGTGGAGAAATCACACCCACAGAGAAGCCTTCGGTGGTATGTGCAATGATGATAATGAAAAAAGATATTACTCGAATTGAGGCCGCTGGACTATGCACAAAATTGGACACGTTAGAGATGGTGTTCATGGCACATTTCTGAAACGTCATACTCGACCGGTTCCATGCTACAAGCATGCAACTACAGAAAGTGACATTGACATCTCTGTAGCAGCACAGCTTTTGTCTTCGTTGAAGGATTTTGTCAAGGGACAACGAGACTAGTTTGAGGCTTTTGAAAAGGCAGCCTTAAATGTGACAGGTGTCTCTCAGTCATATAAGCACGATCTTCAGCGAAAGAGGAAACGCAAAACATTTACAGATAAGAGCTTGGAGCCAGGTGTGACACTTGAGGGGAGATAGAAGTTCAAAATAAAAAACATTTGATGTGGTCATTTATAAGGTAGTGGCATGCCTTGAACATCGCTTGGACGCTTACAAGCGTTTGACCGATCTCTTTGGAGTTCTGTTTATATCAGATCAGGTGTCTAACATTGATGTCATAGTGGAAAAGGTAAATGCACACTACGCTGAATATCCATCAGACCTAGACATGAACTTTCCCAACAAACTCATCCAATTAAAGTCTTTCATGTCTGACTGAGGGTGAGAAGTGCCCAACTAAATTGCTTGAGGCGTGAGTGGACAATTTCCCTTTTAGGCAGAATAAAAAATGAGCTGCAGGGTAGCACGTGCCAAACACGTCTCAGCTCATTGTCACTTATGTCAATAGAGTCAGTCCTTGTCAAACAGCTAGATTTTGACAATCTAGTGGATGATTTTGAGAGGAGGAAGGTAAGAAAGACACCAATATAGAAATGCGAGGGGGGGGGGGGCTCCAAAACACATGTGTCTAGGGGCCTCACGGGACCATGATCGGGCCCTAGTGTCATTTACACTCAGCGTGTGTGTCACTTACACTCCGCATGTGTCACTTACACTTCGCATGTGTCACTTAAACTCCGCGTGTGTTACTTAAACTCCGCGTGTGTCACTTACATTATGTGTGTGTCACTTACACTCCACGTGTCTCACACTCTGCATGTCACACTTACTCAGGTATTGTCACACAACTATCAAAGCACTTGGTGTGTCACAATCAGGCACTGTCACGCAACTAGTAAATGTCTCACAGTGAGTGTGCCTTTCAAGCCAGTAAGAGTGAGTGCATCACAGTGAGCATGATTGTGATTATAGTGTCTAATGTTGAGTGTCTTACAATGAGTGAGTGACAGTGTCTCACAGAAAGTGATTGTGAGTGAGTGAGTGTGAGAGTGTCAGTGAGTGCTAGTGAGTGAGTTGCGCTGTCCCGTCTCACCCAGACTACACGCTCGAGTGGGGAGACATCGCAGTCCACCCCACGCGTCGCTCCGTGCAGAAGTGGCCCAAGGCTAGGGACGGCCTAATCTACATCCCCTACAAAGTGTCCTTCGCCTTCTGTGAGTGGCCTCGCCTCCTCCCCCTACACATTCATTATTCCACCTGTGCCTTATTCCACCTGTGCCTTGTTCATCCTGTGCCTTGCTCATCCTGTGCCTTATTCCACCTGTACCTTAATTTCTCCTGTACCTTGTTCATCCTGTGACTGGAAGGTGACCATATTGAGGGCAGAGTTCACATCAACAGAGTGGCGCTTGTCTAGAATGAAGCGCAGGGCCCAATGTAAATCTGGAAGTTAATTATTCAGACCTGTGCTCCGTGTGGATTGATAATCACGTGACTGGGTGTGCAGGTGGCTGTGGCAAGCAGGGTTTGTCCCTGAAGAAGAAACCCAACTCGGTGTCTTATTCTCTGTAAGATGTCGCCTAGTTACTTGAATCCACATGAGAATCAAGCCACATCCCCTGAGTGCTGAATAATTGATGCTTCATTGAAATAGCTGCAGAAAAATGAGGTTGTTTATTGACATTTCACTAATGGTCATCCTAAGGGAGAAGGATGGAACCAAAACTCATTATTGATATAGAATCTAAAGATTAGTGGTGGAATTATCTGCAGCTTTCTATGTATAGGAAATACATCCACATAGCCCAGGAACCAGACCGACTCCCAGATGAATAGGACGCACAAATCTAAGTGTCTATATACACACGGCATCATCACACACAGAGGCCTGTAACCATGCCTCAATTCATTGACTTACATCAGTCGTGGCTCGTGATACACGCATGGCACCATGTGTGTAGAAGCCAGTGACGTGCAGCGTGTACCCAGCGTGTGTGACTGTGATGGGAAAGTCGCATTGGGGCCAATGGAGCAGAGGAAGTAGTGAAAAAGACACGGAGAGTGCAGAGCGGAGCTAAGGAGGCTCGCGTTGCCACCGCGGATCGTGGAGATTCCTCGCATCGCCGGGCGGGGGACCGCGGGGTGGAAATTTCACTAACGCAGGGACTCTGCTCTGGGCTTTATCTGAAGCAGTGCCGCTCACTCAACACAACTTGATTAGACATTAGAAGGGACGGATACCAATGCGAAAGGACAGATAGCAATGTATGTTCTTCATCTGCTGTCACATACATGCAGTGGGGATCCAACGAATGAGTACTAAATGATTTAGCCACTTGTGACAGATGCAATCCAGTCAAAGGGAGTGGTAACCATGACACTACTCGAAAACATCGAGTATATCGCAGCACCTCACAAGCAGTGGTCATGAAAGAGAAGCAGGTCTCAATAAACGTCAAGTTACTCTGTCAACTTCTTTGGTTCTTTCGGTAAAGTCACGTAGAATGAGAATAAAATAATAAATTGATAAAATAAAATAACACAATAATATTCTCACGACGTTTCAGCCACAACACAAGCGGCCTTCATCAGGTGAAGGGACGAGACTGTCTGGTAGGACAGCGCGGTGCTCAGGCTACCAGACAGTCTCGTCCCTTCACCTGATGAAGGCCGCTTGTGTTGTGGCTGAAACGTCGTGAGAATATTATTGTGTTATTTTATTTTATCAATTTATTATTTTATTCTCATTCTACGTGACTTTACCGAAAGAACCAAAGAAGATGAATCATTGCAGTCACGAAAGCTTTAAATCGAAATTTACTCTGTCAACTCAAATAAAGTGGTGCCGTGGTTTGAATGAGCGACGCCTCCTGCTGCCGAGTGGAAGCACAGGGAGAGGCGGCGGTGGCGGCCGTGGGGCCAAGGCGGCGGAGCAACCCCCAGGCTCTTCCTAGGGAGCTCAGCGCTACCGCCACTCATGCTCCACCCCACGCTGTGCCACCCACTGTGCCCCCCGCCGTGCCCTCTCTGTGCCCCACGCTCCACCCCACGCTTTGGCCCCCGCCGTGCCCCCCATTGTGTTGTTGGCTGCGCTTGACGCTCACTGTGGGCTCTTCCCGCTCACGTCGGCCCCCCCGCTCACGCCCGGTGTGTGACCTGCAGACGATGGTGACATCAAAAAGATCCAGGAGGCGGCGCTGGAGTTTGAGAAGAAAACGTGCGTCCGCTTCATCCCTCGCTCCAACGAGACTGACTACATCTACATCCATGCAAAGGACGGGTGAGATACGGAGACACGGACACGGCAGAGAAATGGACATGACAAAGACACGGACACTACAGAGACACGGGCACTACATCTCTCTGTGATGAGTGGTGAGTGAATGGGGCTCAGTGCTCAGGCTGGGGTTGTCTCTGTGTTGTGAGTGGTGAGTGAATAGGGCTCGGTGCTCAGGCTAAAGTTTTCCCTAAGTGATGAGCGGTGAGTGAATGGGGCTCGGTGCTCAGGCTAAGGTTTTCCCTAAGTGATGAGCGGTGAGTGAATGGGGCTCGTTTCTCAGGCTGGGGTTGTCTCTGTCTGGTGAGTGGTGAGTGAATGGGGCTCTGTGCTCAGGCTGAGGTTGTCTCTGCAGGAATTGGTCGTTTCTGGGCCATCAGGGCAGGGACCAGGCGCTGTCCCTGGAGCCTGGCAAGGTGACCAAGGGCGTCGTTCTGCACGAATTCATGCACGCGCTCGGCTTCCACCATGAGCACTGCCGCAGCGACCGCGATGACCACGTCATGGTGCTGAGCCACAACCTTAGACCAGGTGAGACATTCAGTGGATTGAGCAGAACTTTTCTTCACGATATGCAATGTTCTAAAATGATCTGAGGGTTGTGCTTCTCCATCCATGTCGAGAAACTGTTTGTATTAGTGGTGATGTGAAGGAGCCTCTTCATTGTTTAAGTCTAACAATGTCTGTGAGACCCATCTGATATCAGTGCTATGTCATGTGTGATGCATGATACAGCACAAGGATCTCTACATATTGTAAAAATGGAATTGTAACTTGGTTTATTGAACAAAATGAATTTCTATAATATGCTTATGGTATTCAAATATCCATGAGAATACCATTAAATCACGTATTAGCAGATCAGGCAATCATCACAGTAAATGTTGAAGCAATGTTCATATATGCTCACTTGAGAACACATTGAATGGTAGCAACTTCATTCCAGAACTATCTCCATGCCCAAGGTGTCGACAAATGCTTTGCTCTGTGACATTAAAATGCTTAACATCTCACGGAAAATGTTACAGTAATTTCAGAATCGTGATGAGCTTATGGTTACGTCTACAATGCTATCTTGCCTTTCGAACTTGTACCTTGTTACTATTAAGTACCGAATTTGTACTTTGCCACATGACATGATTCTGATTACACAATTTGGATAAGATTGGGGATAAATTATTTGTAAAAAAATCTGACCAGTTTTAGTGTCAGTCTGACAGCACAGCTTTTTCGCACTTTTGTATTGAGCCCTCGGACACGTTATTGATCCTGTATTTGAAGTCACACTTTTTTCTTTTTGCATCCTCATATCCGCAAATCATAGGGTGCCTAACATGCAGATCTCTAAGTCTTGCTGCTATCTGCAGACAGCCTCTTAAGTGATGGAATGATTGTGTACATCCATTGAACATGAACAAATAATTGTCTTAACAATATCATGGCTTTGCCATTCTAGTGTAATTGAATGTAGTCTCATCACTTGCCGAACTTAAGATTACTTTCGTGGATACGCACATAGGGGTGTGCCGTAAGCTAATGTGTGATGTTTTTATGTTTCAGAATGGGTGAATGACATGCGGAAAACATCAAATGAGCATAATCTCAGGACCCCCTATGACTACAGCTCTGTCACTCACTACAGCATGTAAGTGTGTGTCTGCTCATTTCACATCTAAACTAAACGATTTTTTATTCTTTGGATCTTTCAGTAAAGTCACGTAGATAAGATTAAAGAAAAGAACAAAAAAAGAACAAAAAACTACGAATTTTCGATCGCAACACAAGCGTTCGTCATCAGGAAAAGGGGGGTTAGCTTCGAAAGGCAAACAGTTTGGTTTTCACACCTGATGATGACTGTTTGTGTTACAGTCGAAACGTCGTGAGAATTTTATTGTTTTATATATATTTTATTATTTTATTGTTTCCCTTCAACGTGACTTTACCGAAAGAACCAAGAATATAGTTTGCAAACAGTTTGCCTTTAGAAGCTATCTGTTGTGGTATGAAGGAAGAACATTACGGAACAGCTCTTGTGTGCAGTTGACTACAGAGAAACTACTGCATGACACAAAACTAAGGATGGTAACTCATGTAAATGTGTTTAATCCAATTAGAAAATTTCCTAAATATTGAGTAAAAATATATTAGCACTCATTGGTTGATGTGGTGGTAAATATTACCACACAGTAAAACCCCATGAATCCATAATTATATGAATGGAACACTGTTCATGCGCTATTACGCTGTGCATGGTGGGATATGGTAAAATATCAATGCTAATCTTGTGTAGGGAATTCAAGGTGCACAAAGGTGAAACGGCTTGAGTGACTTGTAGCCATACGTGATTGGGACACTCCTGCACTACAATGCGTCTGTGCCCCAGGACCGCCGGCTCTAGAGACGAGCACAGTCCGACCCTGGTGCCCAGGGACCGGAGCACCATGCGTCGCTTTGGAGGCGGCCACACCCTGAGTGAGGGCGATGTGGAGAAGATCGAGAAGATGTTCGATGGTGAACCAGCAGCACTGAGTCCAAGCAACGCAGCTCCAGCACGAACGCGCCCAGAGACAGGTGATTACAGCTCCATTCCTCGTATTCTACGCTCGGTGTTCGCCAATTCCCTTTCCGAGATGTCTGCAAGTTGCGGGGTGGGTCCCTTTCACCGCTGAATCTCGGCACGCGAAAGCGGTTAGCGTTTATTTTATTTGGAGAGGCATAGGGCCGCTGTTTTTAAAGACATTGTGCACACCACTGTTGTATATATAGGTGTTATGAAAATTGATGAAAATAATGAAAATTAAATGAAATTTGAAATTTGCATAATTTATCCGAAATTATGTTAATTCGTGTAATTATGCGCATAAATTATGCTGATTCGAGAGATAATTGTATTAATTTATGCGAATGGGTGTGGTTATGATGATGCAGGTCGTTATGGATTATAAGGTCGAGCGTCGGTGACGAGGATTGTGTTATGAATTGGAATAACGCAATTAATCGTATGCAGTGACGCAGGCGTTGTGAGCGTGAATGAGAGAGTCGATTCGACTCTGCTCTTTAATTCCGTATTATCGATAAGGATACGATTACTCTCGATTGAACATTATGAATTATGTGTGTTATGGATTATGTGTGGTGATAGTGTGCTTATGATAGATCCCCAGGATTCAGATCTCATACGCAGAACAATATTATGCAGAATTTCAGGAAGAATCACACACAAACCTTCTGCTTTGATCAATTTTATTTTCTAGCTAACTTTAATTTTTGGATAATATGAAAACTCAATCTCGGGATGTTGGAATTTCAACACAGCGTTAACATGATACCATCACGATTGCGTTGTTTCACCTCGATAGCGGCACCTGTGGTTAATTCCCGACGCGTAACGCAATCGATCGGTTGTTGAGAGAGAGATTAAAAACAAGCGAACTATTCTATCAAAACCTTATAATATGCAAACTCGTATTCTTGAATGATTACACAACACGGCACTCGGTCTTTGATTCGTATCCAATCCTTAACACATTCTGATATGCAAAATTATTATGCTTGAAATCGTCAGCACAGTACCACGGCGATGTTCGTTCATTGATTCATCAACGATTACGCAATTAAAGCGTTCGACTGAAATAATTCTGATTGCCTCATCAACGTAACTCAATGGATGGTGATGTTTTTCATTATCAGCTAATAGTTGACGCAGTTATCATGAGTCTTGTATGTTTAATGGGAGGGTTGTTGATTTCTTGCGTTGAGCAAACGCCTAGGTTGATTTCCTCGTCAAAAAAAATGTTTGTTCGTTGTGTAGCGGTGGGGGAGTGAGGAGGGAGTGTGGGGGAGGGGCATACGAACGACTGCCAGTTTCTGTCCGCCACTGGCTGGATGAGTCAGCACGACGCTCGCCGTCATCGCGCTGATGGGTGTGGAGTGCGGGGCCGCTTCCCTCTCAGCCCTGGTGACGCGAAGTTGCGCGCTGTAGCACGCTGGTGGCACGCGCTGGTGCTGGTGCTGGTGGCACGCTGGTGGCACGCTGTTGGCATGCGCTGGTGCTGATGCTGGTGCTGATGGCACGCTGGTGGCGCGCGCTCCCTCTCCTTGAAGATGCGCGAACGCGCCCGTGCTGGTTCGCTGATAGCAGTTTCTCTCCACTGCTGGCTGAGCTGTTGCACGCTCTTGCTTGGCGTTGCTGGCCGCGCTCTTTCTCCTTGAAGATGCGCGAACGCGCCCGTGCTGATTCGCTGACAGCAGTTTCCTCCACTGCTGGATGAGCTGCGCCGGTGCGCGCTCTATCCGCTGCTGTAGTATCTGACGCTGCGCTCGCGGGCGACAGGTCAAGTTTTTCTTCTGCTGAGTGAGCCGAGTCACACGTGCTCTCTTTGTTGAGGTTGTTGGCGGCTCTCTGACAGCAGGTTTCCTCCACTGCTGTATGACTCAAGTCGCACGCGCTTGGTCACTGGTTTGCTGAAGTTGTTGGCGGCTGCTCGTGCTTTTCCGCTGCTGGTTGAGCCACGTTGCACGTGCTTTCTTTGTGGAGATGCTCGAGCGCTCTCAGCGCTGATTCGCTGATACTTTGTTGGCGGCTGGCCAAGCTTTTTCTTCCGTTGAGTGAGTTGAGTCGCACGTGCTCTCTCTGTTGAAGTGCGCGAACGCGCCCGTGCTGGTTCGCTGACAGCAGGTTTCCTCCACTGCTGTATGACTCACTTTTGTTGATACATCGCGACTCAGCGATCCTCGCTACTCAGCGAGGCTCGGAGCCAGCCGCTCCATGCGACTGCTCGTCCTGTGGACGTCTTGACTCGCTGATCTGTCTTGACTCTTGACTTAACTTCACTGACTTTTGAAAATGCGGCTGACCGTTATATTCAAAGACAATTCTCTCTGCGCAGTGGAAAAGGGGGGGGGGGGGGGCGGGGTCTGTGTGTGTGAGTTCGTGTGTGTGTGTACAGATGGCTCCTGCGATAACGATCTGTTTGCCCTGGCGTGAAATTCCTCTCTCGCGCTCTTCGGGAGAGACAAAGGTGGTCGGGAGTACCTATCTCTTTATACTTTCGACTTTATATTTCTCAAATACAATTTGGTCCCATGTTCGCCAAGACTCGTGTTTGTAACTACGTCCTCCCGACACCCCTCTCGGGTTACCGAGGTTCGCATTGATATGATGGAGTTATTAGAAAGAAAAATAAATTTTCATCCTGAGTTTAAGAGGTCCGTTTCCAGATTGTTGGAATCCATATCCCTTGGTTCTGTAAGGTTCTATAATGGAATATCGTTTAAGGTTAACACGTTATTATTAATGTTATATTGCAATTTTCTTTAAAACTTTGTTTGCCTGGTTGCCGTGTGTGGGGTGGGGTGTGTCTCCTCATCAAACCCGGCTGGCTTTTCCAGATGGCCCCTTGTGATAAGGTGTAATTCCTGCTTCTCCGCGCTGTGAGAGAGACAAAGGTGGTCGGGGTTGCTTGGGATATTGTTTAAACTCTTTCGTAAGTTTGCCCGTTCGCCTTATTCCTTCTCGATAACCTTTGATGTGGTATTTTGTCTCCAAGCTTTGTTTTAACAGTAAAAGTATTAAAGGTGAAAATTATTTGATAGCAAATTAATTATTGGATAATAATTCACTGATGTATCTGGTGGCCTGGTCTTGATTGGAGTGAGCGCGAGGACCGCTAACTTTAGCTTATTCTTGTTATTGCATTTTAAATTTGAACCGTTGTTTTAATGACAAAGGAAAAAAATATATATGGTTTAACCCGTGGGCGTCCTCGTTTCTGGCTTGCGGAGGGCTTCCCTCTGCGTGACCTCCCTTAGGGCACATCAAACTCTTGTTCATCTGGAGATCTTCGCAGATAGCTGCTAACATCCTCGCCTCGAGAGTTTTATTATTTCTTTAATTTTTTAATGGTCTGTTTATGATCGACATCTGGTTTTTCGTGTGCCTGGCTTACGGGTTTTATTGATTATTTTTTTTGTTTGTTAAAAAAATATTATATATAACGCAAATATTATTGTTAATATCAATTTTGGAAAAGGCTCATATACAACACCACAGAGAACTGTAGCAACACGACCGCACTCTATGATAGCTGGCGCCAAACTGTGCCACACGCCCTCCCGTGTGTGTACGTCATCAGAAAACTTACGACGTACATGTACATTATCGGAATGGGAACGGCTTAATATTGTTAATTGATACATTGTTGGTGCACTAATTGCCTGCAGAATTTGTAGCGCCAGCATGTTGGTTGAAAGTGTTATAAATAAAAAAAGTGAACATTAACATGGCAACTACCCTGCTCCTAAGTTGGAGTGGAGCAGTGACATAACGGTTACAGCACTGCGTTGTCAAACTGGCAACCTAAGTTAAATTCGCAGCCACAGCTAACATCAATGGTGAGTGATATCTGCAGTGGTCATTCGGCCCTCATCTTCATCAGCCAACACTGGCCAGTATGGTGCAGTATGGTGGTTATGCAATAGCTTTGTCTGTCTGTCCAACTGCTGTCCCTCTGTCCATATCACTGACGGGGGGGGAAGGGGGCAATCACAATAATGCTTGTTAAGATGATCTTATGTAATTAGTTTATAATACAACTGTGGTGCCATTACGGACTCAGCCTTATGGATGCCTGGACAAGTTTATAAAATAGTTGCCTGTCTTTTCACAATACAGAACTAGGGATCCCATGTGTAGTGCATGTCTATTCACACCGCAGAACTAGGGACCCCATGTGTAGTGCATGTCTATTCACACTACATAACTAGGAATCCCATGTGCAATGCATGACTATTCATAGTGCAGAGCTATGGATCTAATGTGCAGTGTATGTCTATTCCATGTGCAGAACTAGGGATCCCATGTGTGTTACATGGCTGTTCCCAGTGCATAATAGATTCAGGTGTTCCCTGTATATTTTTATGAAGCTTAAACTCGTCAGCAATTAAGTACCGTGGAAGCAGTGTGAACCTTACCTCTGGTCTATTGCTATCTCTAGTGCGTTTGTTCTCTCTATTGCTACCAGGACTTGCTGAAGGTCTGGGACTATCAACTGACAAAGCAACATCTCAGTAACAGTCCACTCAATATGTTTCAACGAAGATTGAAAGTGCTAATGCATTAGCTTTGACTGCCCATCCATCATCTGTCTGTAAAAGTTGACACGTTAACTTTCCTAATGATGATCTAATATGAGCACGAGTGCTTCGTGATCGTGGATGACGATTCACTAATTTTAACAGAGGAGGTCCTTCCAGCCAAATAGCATGAGATCCATTTTAGGACTGATCCTACGATTCCAAAGTCGGACTCAAGAATAATATAATAGAGATTTTTTTTAGTTAGATCGCATAAATATATAAATGCGTCGTTAAAACCCGCCACCACCCGACAGCCAACTAGTAAGGGTTGTCACGTAAACAGAACATGCCAATTCGTCACTAGTACATAACACCGGTGTGTTGGAGAGCCAAGCCACAACATTTACAATCTGAGTACGACGTTTTGCCAGTAATTACAACTAGCTTCATCAGGCAACAGCCAGATTTGTAGAGAAGTCTAACTGCTTCGTTCCTTTAATAGAGGTGTAGATGTGGTGACCACGCTTCTGCACTCTTGTGCAAATTAGGGGGGGAGATTACTGAGTCAACGTACATTATACATGTGCAATAAGGCTAGTAAGCTGTAGGTGATTAACAGTATCAAAAGCTGATGAAATGTCCAGACCAATGAGAGCCATGATTGCGCCAGAGTCGACGATTGTAAAAATGTCGTCGAAGATTCTGGTCAATTGCAGTCTCTGTGGAGTAAGTCAGATGGTAGCAGATTGATAGGGATAAAAGTTTTGGTGAAGAGGTAATTTGAGACGTTCAAGGAGTTTGGAAATGGTGGAGAGGTTAGCAATCGGTTGGTAACTGGCAGGGTTGTCAGTATGTAGTCCTCCATGTGATGTGATCTTGTGCAACACAGATGGCGGCACTAATACCATTGGCCATGATCAATCCACTGCTGGATGAACGGCTCCCTAAGCCGCAACCACCCCCACAATAATGTGATGTAAAAATCCACCCATCACCTGAACACAAACTGATTTCATCGCTCCATCTCCCTGGTAGGTGGATTCTCAGGTGCATTCCCTACCTTACTGGCACTCAGGAGTTATTTTCAACCATCAGTCATCATGCCTTTAGCCAGGACGTATCCTGTCCAAGCCGATTTACTTTTCTTTACATTGTGAACAATGCCACTCACCCGTGTATGTTCTAGAACTCATGTGGTCCCTTTTCTGCCCTTCAGTGTAATCCCAAACATGCCCGTCTCCACACTTCTTTGCACACTTAATTTGTTGTTCCACTTTAATTAATATCTGTCTTTATGATCCGAATGTCATTGCAGGTAATATGAATATGCATTAGTTAAAATGTTTATTAAATACTTCTGAAATCAAATGCATGTTGGAAAACGATATGGAAATCATGCATATATATTGGCTTCTACCTGGTTTAAAGTTGGCTTATCGGCATATGCCAAATGACAATGTATGGCAGAGTATATTTAATCACAATCAAAATTGCCGTAACATTTTCCAATAATTTTCAGCATAGAGTGCTTGTTAGTCGAGTGTTCAGTCATTGATTATTTTCACTTATACACCATTAATCTACACGTATTTTCTCAAAATGCCATCAATATACGTTGTATATGTCATGAAACTGACCTATAGGTTGTTTAATCTCTCCATCAATTCGTTTGGATTCCACCTCTGTGCATTCCCGTGCAGAGCTGTGCAGTGATGATGTCCTGTCTCTGGTCTCTGCTGCACAGGTGCAAGCGCGATGCAGAAGGATGCGGGAAACATCCCAGACTTCAAAATAGAAGACGCTATGTGGCTCTTTAAGGTGGCGTGATGCATGAGACGCCTTCATGTTGAGTTGTGCAAATGTTTCCCTTTGTGTAACCTTCGTATATTTTAACTTTAAGCATTGAAATATTCACAAGAAAATTCCATGTCCATTATGTTTGCATTATATATTTTTTTATTGCTGTGCTGATTTACTAACTGTACTTAGTCATTCATGGCTTGATACAGTATGCTTGTGTAGTGTTGTTGTATATATTCCTTTTCCAAAAAATTATATTAAGAGTGATTCTGCCTATTTTTTTTAGTTTCATCAGGATGTAGCGCGGGGGCACGAAGGGGGTCTCACCCCTCACACCCCGCTGACTCCTGCCTAGCCACACAAAGGACAGCTGGAGGAAGTCAATGTAATTAGGGAAAGGCCCAGACAGCGAGAGCCAGCCAGGGGTGGTTAGGCATTGCGAACTGGCTGGGATTTTTTAAATACAACAGTAAAAATTCAAAGCTTAGCTATATCTTTTGATTTAAAGCTTTCGTGACTGCAGGGATTCATATTCTTGGTTCTTTCGGTAAAGTCACATAGAAGGGAAACAATTAAATAACAAAAATATAAAACAATAAAATTCTCACGACGTTTCGACTGCAACACAAGCAATCATCATCAGGTGTGAAAACCACAGCAAGAAAATTTGAAAAAAGTGGCGGGTTTTTTTAATGTTAGCACCACTTTACCCTACATTGCGGGGATCACAAAAAATGACTCCAAAATCTTGAATATACACATGATCCAGGTCCAATTCAACACATTACATAAAATCCGTGATCTGGTTCCATCTGTAAAATATGTGATTCCGGACATACAGTACCGTGGCGTCTACAAAGTAAGTTGCCTCTGTGGTAGTAGTTACATTGGAGAAACCAAACGACATGTCTCGGACCGCGTTCGTGAACACAAAGCAGACCTAAAACACGGCAGGACCAACACCTCGGCCGTGGCAGATCACTGTTATAATTCAGTAGGCTCGCATGACATTGACTTCCCCAAGACAGAGGTTCTTTGCAAGCCATCTGGCTACCATGAGATTCGTTCATGAGGCTATCCACTTATACAAACACAGACACAATTTCAACCGAGAAGATGGATTCTGGCTTAGCAATCATTGGAAGGATTTTATAAACCATTTCGGGTCTTAATTGATTGTTCACGCTGACGGTGGTTTTCAGACCGCGTCCATTATTTTCGTCTCCCCCCTCCTTTTTTTCGAACATAGATGGACTCGTCCATCTGAATAAACTGTCAAATCGCACTCCGTGGTGCTAACGTTAAAAATAACCGCCACTTTTTTCAAATTTTCTTGCTGTGGTTTTCACACCTGATGATGATTGCTTGTGTTGCAGTCAAAACGTCGTGATAATTTTATTTTTTTATATTTTTATTGTTTCCCTTCTATGTGACTTTACCGAAAGAACCAAGAATATACTTAGCTATATCTTCAACCTCAGGATATCAAAATATAACTCGAAGATAAGAAGCACAGGTCCCTGGTGATACAGACGGGGAACGGATGTTAAGAAAACCCTCTGAAATCCTTTGTTAACAACTATGGTATGCCACAAATCTTGGTTAAGCATAAACCAAATAATAATTGTGAAAGTATTAGACCATGGGTCATTCAGAAGAGATACAATGCGAAATAGGTCAATCACACACGACCAAGATAATACGTATTCCATAGGATCAGAGCCTCAACAACCGCCTTTGTCTTCCAGCAGCTAACACAGCACATGTTAGCAGTAAATTATGTATGCAGGGGGCGCCTCCCCTTAATATATAAAATACCAGGCAAGGATTCCAAACGCGATGTGAGTGTTGTATAAAAACTGCTCAAAATTTACTTTGAGTAACTTGCAGAGTCAAAACTATGGAAAGTGATACGGTACCAAGCTATAAGAGGTGTAAGAAAATATTTGTTTTACTTCCAACCCATGCACAAGAGGTCACGACTTCAAAGGCCACAGCGCCCCTCTTTGTGAAAGACTGCAAGTCTGAGGCGGAAAAAAAATGTAACACTTCCAACCGTCAGGGAAGAAGGGGGGAAACGCAGCCCAGAAGAGCGAATGGAAAACTTTGTGATAATAAAGACAGCTGGACAAAAAGGCCAAAAGGACCGCGCTTCCGCTTCCAGATTCATTATTGCGGAAGGTTGTAAAACCAGTCAAACACTCTGTGGAGCAACTAAGCAGCTGTTACCACAGGATGAGAGCGAAATCAAAGGGATTCTGGTTCTTCATGAGAGGCAAGTCTGAGGCAGAAAATTTCAGATATGAGCAAGAACGCAAGAACAGAAATCAGTTCTGAGTGGCAGACTCTGGGAATTGCCCCCGTGACAGGCACATTTATAGGGCGCTCTGCATCGGCAGAAGCCACGCGTCACAGATAATTTTTCATTTAAAAAAATGTTCGTCATTGACAGAGGCTGCAGCCAAGGCTGGTATTTGCAGTATTACAATACAATGTGGGCAAGAGTGCTGTGCCATTACTATTCCCGGTGGCAAGGTCGCAGTGTACGGCCAACACTTACAATCATAAAGTGTTTTTAGATATTAAAGTTGCTTAACACAGAAGAGCCTGATTGGTTCCTTCCTAAGTTCATGCATATTAATCTTAATTTTCGAACTGTATCCTGCGGTGAGATCTTAATTTTGAGACCTGACATAAATACACGAAAACATAATCATGAAAAGTTAGAGTGAGAATCATTGTATTATCACGATTGGTAATACACTCCTAAATTTCGATTTAAAGCTTTCGTGACTGCAAGGATTCATCTTCTTTGATTCTTTCGGTAAAGTCACGTAGAATGAGAATAAAATAATAAATTGATAAAATTAAATAACGCAATAAAATTCTCACGACGTTTCGGCCACAACACAAGCGGCCTTCATCAGGTCCCTTCACCTTGATGAAGGCCGCTTGTGTTGTGGCCGAAACGTCGTGAGAATTTTATTGCGTTATTTTATTTGATCAATTTATTATTTTATTCTCATTCTACGTGACTTTACCGAAAGAACCAAATAAGAATACACTCCTAGACAACGAAGCCGAGCCTAATTGAAATAAATGCATATATTTGCATAATACGAAAATTAGCACAATTGCATGCAATTACACATTTTTTACTTATTTTTTATTTTTCAAGACAATATATACAACAGTATATTACATTCACATATTTATGTAATTCGCTAATCCATGCTGCATTAGTTAATTAATTACTAATGGTATCTTCATTATTGTTTGCAGACTAACAAGAAGAAAAAGGAAAAAAATGAGCATGGTAAATATTATTGTGATTACACAAGTGTAATCATTTGACATAATTAACAATGTCACTGAGGGGAGGAGGGGGGGGAGGAGGCATAGTTCTCGGCTGGTATGTCTCCTTCTAAAGCCAATTCTCATTGGTTTGTGGAATGCACAGTTTGCCAACAGAATAGCGTTTCAAGCAACATCTAAGGTGGACAGAGTAATCAAGTCAGTGGGGAAACAACCAACAAGAGTGCAGAGTCTCCAGGAGTGTGCAGTGCACCTGGCATTCTTGGCGTGGATATGGAACACTTGAAGCATGTCTCAGAAAACATTGCTGAATGCAAAATAGGCAGGCAATATACCTCCACATATTTGTCCCTCCACATAAAAACATGTTTCGTTATACATCACATCAGCCGCACGGCCTACTGAGAGTGCATAATTTCATCAGCATTGGTTCAACACCGGTGAACTCTGAACCAGTTTCAATATTCAGTGACTGATCAGTCAGGCTTGATTCAGCGAATGCGGGTGAACTGAAACATGTTTGCAAGTAAGGAACCTCTCTGTTAGATATGGGCCCCAGTTCAACGCAACAGATATGTAACACAACACAGAACAATAATTTACCTCATTGTGGAGAATAACATCATGCTAATCCCTCACATTAACATAGCCACTTCCATGCCCTCGTCTAGGAGGCCACTCTCCTAGCTTACTTTTACATGCTAATATCTCACATTAACATCATGCTAATCCCTCACATTAACATAGCCACTTCCGTGCGCTCGTTTTAGGAGGCCGCTCTTTTATCTTACTTTTACATGCTATTTTTTTACATGAACATCACTAGCCCCGGCCACTTCTTTTTAACCCTTGAGCTACTTCCATTTCAAACCTTTTAAAACAGTCTGCCTCAGCAGCAGACTTTGTTTTCCCACCTGATGGCGGACGCTTGTGTTGCGCCCGAAATGTCGTGATTTATTTTATACCTACGCGACTTTACCGAAAGAATCAAAGAGTAAGCAAACAGTACACCACTTTTACAAATATGTCCCTCCAGATAAAATAAAATCTATAATGTTTACACATTCCATGAGACAAAAAGCATTCTGTGAGTGCAAAAGCTTCTAATAGTTGCAAACATTATTTAATTTTCATATGTGGACTGACAGAAATGTAACAAAGGTATATTGTATGCTTATTTATTTTGTTACTTATGTTGTGCAGTAGAACCACGCGGAGACGAGGAATACTATAAGGACTGTTGCCATTTCTTAAACACTGTTACACTCAGCACTCTATGCTCACACAAGGGGTGGGTGCTCTCTATTTCGGTCCTTTACCCTGGACACTGAATGCTACCTGGGTCCTGCCCTCGGCTATCCTTTGGGCCTCTCTCACTCGTCTGTCCGGAGCGGGGGTTCAGCCAACACCGCTTCATCGACGAGGATAGGGTAACCCTCTCCTAGCCGACCCTTACTGAATACACAGGACCTTACCCTCGGCTATCCCCTTGGCTCTCCCACTTGTCTGCCCGGAGCGAGGGTTCATCCAACACCGCTCCGCAACGAGGAGGGAAAGACACTTTGCAACCAATCCTTGCCCTGGCTCCCCACAACGAACCCGCCTTTGTCACGGGGTCCCCCTTAAGTACCCCTTTGGCGGCTCCTCGCCCTAGCTCGGACTCGCCTTTGTTCCCGAAGGTACCTCTTACACCACCCATGCCATGACGTCATCCTTGACTGTCAACCCGTTTCGCACCTCCTTCTGTTCGCCCCTCACGGTTACTCACAATACTCCTCTACACTTACATCCTCCTCAACGACGCTTCTGGTTATTTGGTGTTTTGAATGCATCTTGTTACATTGGATTTTAAAATGTTCTGTTTAAATCTCCACACCCATGTTTAATGCAGGATATTTAACACCGTTTTGTTGTGTTGCAACATCATTCGACCTCCCCACACTCAGGCTGTCCCTCACAGTTATGCGATGCCACAGTCTGTTTCATTTCTACACGAGCTGATTTCATTGCTCAATCTCCATGGTGGTAATCTTACTGAGCATTTTCCCTGCCTTAGTTGCCATTCCATTGCGAGTCTCGTCCATCGATTACCGTCTCTTAGCGACGTGTGTATAATTATTGTAACATCGATGTAAGATGCAATTAAATGAACGACACTATATAAACTTAATTATTCTCGACTTAAAGCTTTCGTGACTGCAGGAATTCATATTCTTTGGGTCTTTCGGTAAATTAATTATTCTCATCATTACCTGTGAATCTTCTCTGAGCCATGTGTTTCTCTTTCTGTGCAAGTGTAATTTCCAGCATGCAACTCTCCACGCTTCTTTGCATTTTGTTCAGTATTTCTTCACTTAATTTTCAGTGCCCATGTTTGTCATTGATGTCTTTGCAGACAATATACTCTGATTGAAAACTTTCTTCATGAGGCACATTGATGCATTGCTTTTCATTATCATCTTTTTATTATCAATATTACATACGAAAGCAGGCTCTAGAGTCCACCACAGAACCCATGCATGAAAGTAAACATCAAAATACCGAAATCAACATTTCTATAATTAATTATTGGTCATGACTCTCTGGGGGTCCCATTGTGATGTAATCTGGTGGAAGACAAAGTTGTTGCGGAGCTGTCTCCGGGATTGTGCTGTACAGCACGAGAATGTCTGCAGTCTAACGTTACACGCAACTTAGGATACATCTCTCGTTAAATTGCGGTCCTGGTGATACATGGTTTACCCACTGTACCATCAGGGGAAACTTTCACTTCAGAGAATCTCTCCAGGTTTCAAATGGGAAATTAAGGATATGCTTAGGCATTGTTTAATCAGCCATGTCGCCCAATGATTGTATGTACCGTGTGTGTGCTTGTTATCCCCTGCCAGATTTCAAAGTTGAATGTGATGGTGTCAAAGACTGCCCTTCGGCAGCTGGAGTGACACAATGGCCCAAGAGTCAGGACGGCAATGTCTACGTTCCATACGAGGTGTCGGCTGCCTTCTGTGAGTGTCACGGTGATCTCTACTGTTGCAGCAATGTGCATCATGCCTAATGTATACACTGCAGTAGGCAGCCACCCTCCGGGTTCTTTAAGTGGCGTTGGCACGGCCAGCTGCCACGTGCGACGGGTCAATGCAGTGCAGGTTTCAGTTTGTACTGGGATGTACGCATGTCCATCGTGGATTGTTATATGTCCTGATAACTTGTGTATTTAATCTTGACTTAAAGCTTTCGTGACTGCAGGAATTCATATTCTTTGGGTCTTTCGATAAAGTCACGTAGAGAGGTTCAAATTAATAAAAATAAAATAAACGAAAAAACTACAACGTTTCGATCACAACACAAGCGAGCGTCATCAGGAGTATATTGCATACACTGATGATGTATATAATTACTTTTAGGCTAACATATTTGAAGTCTGTAACAACAGAGTGGCTTGCGTATCACACACCTTAATACACTCAATACACAATTAATTACAGTAAAACCTTGTACTTGCTCTGCAAGTATGAGCACATGTGTTTCGTCTTGCCTGCATTCAGTAAGTTGCAGTGTTCATAATTGTAAATTGTCTTTATAGGTATGTTATATTAAACATTTACAGTTAAAATTTTGATGTAAAGCTTTCGTGACTGCAGGGATTCATATTCTTGGTTCTTTCGGTAAAGTCACGTAGAAGGGAAACAATAAAATAATAAAAACAATAAAATTCTCACGACGTTTCGACTGCAACACAAGCAATCATTTTATTGTTTTATATTTGTATTTTATTGTTTTATATTTTTATTATTTAATTGTTTCTCTTCTATGTGACTGTACCGAAAGAACCAAGAATATTTACAGTTTAAATAACTTTCTGATTACACCAAGTGCATTTGTATCATGGACACCTGATTGATGATTGTGGTTAAACCAGATACGAGTCCTTATTTATCCACGTATGATTTTACATTACTAAGTAAGGGACATAAATAACATCAATGCAATCACACGCATTGTTCTTCCACAGATGACTATGACCGTGAAGCCATCCAGCGTGCAGTGGAAGAATTTGAAAATAAAACTTGCGTCCGCTTCCACCCTCGCAAAAAAGAGCGAGACTTCATTCACATCCAAGCCTTGGACGGGTGAGCCTGATGGGACTCTCCTGAGCCTTCGCACCCAGAAAAACAGCATGGAGAGACAGTCCGTGAAGGATTTGTTACGATCTTATTACACTTGGATAAGGGACATTAACACGTTGTATTCCTCTACGTGAAATCTGGCAAAAACATTAGCAAGCTGCAACAAGTACAGCATTTTTTTGTACGTGTCGTGACAGATCCGACCATATCCGTCCGGTGCTCACTGAGCTGCATTGGCTTCCGGTTTCCAAACGAATACATTATCTACAATTATCTACAATACCTAGTTGCTCACGTCAAGGAGCATAAGCCAATCACGTGAACACCGGTCATCCTCACAACAGCTTTTGGCTGGCCATTGGACAAACACCACATTGTACGCTTTCAGATGCGCTTTGCGGTCGTCTGGAATGCACTTCCTTCTGATATTAGGAATCCACTGGAGATTGTAATCTCATTTCTTTAAAACTGCTTTTTTTCGTTAATCTGTTGCACGGTTGGCTATGTACGGTGCGAAAGACATTCAACAAGCATACTTACAGTGCTGGGATTGGGCTGTGAATGAAGCAGCGGTCAGCGTGCTCGCCACAATCAGTGGTTTGCATGGAGCCGATGGCTGAATTCTTACGTCCGGACAGCCATCGCCTTGAGACACATTTTAAACAAGAACTTCAAGGGCACGTAAACATTTATGACTCGGAAACATTTGCAAATGGCAAATATTTTCAGGACCGATGCTGTTGTCAGAAAGGGCATTGGAACCTATGCTGATAAATATGTTTCATTACATAATTGTATCACAATGATTCCAATTTTGCAATAGTTAACTAATGCCACAGTTATGTGTTACCTTATTTCTGAATTCAGTCTTCTCTGCTCAGTTTCTGGGTCACCATGCAGCAGTAATCCATTCCTAAATTAAGCTGATACCAGCATTCTTATTGGTGGATTTGCATGCATTATTTAGACATTTTTTGAATGCATGAAATAATACATTTCTCAAAAGCTGAATTAAAATAAAGCGATTTTGTATTACTTGTTAAACTATACCAGACAATTTGGATTTCCGTAGCAACCCCATGTGAAAGTGCTGTACATAGTAGTGGGGCATGGGCATGCTGAAGGAAGAAGCGCGGCGGTCGCTCTTGAGATAGACAGGAAAAGGGAAGCTCTTGAGCCTCCATCTGAGTAGGAGCAGGGAGTGGACAGCACAGATGACTGGGGGAGGGGAATTCCAATGAACATGCTTGTGGATACTTCAGTTTGCATTTTTACATTGATAATTCAAGTGAAAAAATGTGTTGGTGAATCAAATAACATAGTAATAGAAACCAGTACAGCCATGTCCAGTTAGTGCTTAATTTTATTGCTGAAAAAACTATTTTGAGAATCAAAGAATGGATGTGACAATTTATTTAAATAACGAAAAAGAACAAGTTAGTGAATGTTTTCTGAGCTGGAAAAGGGACACAAGGGTATTCTCTATGGCCAGGTGCTTGGGGAAAGTTTATGTGGACCAAGAAAATATTAGTTTCATGAGCAAAATTCATGGCAATATTTGTATTTCAATGTGACATGCACAGAACATTAAATACATGTGAGCTAGTTTCATGTAAAATAAACACTGTACTTTTCGATTTAAAGCACTCCAGCGCTGTCCTACCAGACAGTCTCGTCCCTTCACCTGATGAAGGCCGCTTGTGTTGTGGCCAAAACGTCGTGAGAATATTATTGTGTTATTTTATTTTATCAATTTATTATTTTATTCTCATTCTACGTGACTTTACCGAAAGAACCAAAGAAGATGAAACACTGTACTGTCATTTTCGTCAGCAATGGGTGCACATGCACTGGCTTGCATGGCCGTATGCAGACTCAGCGAGAATTGGGCATGTGCATTCGCATCGACCCAGTTACTTAGACCATCACCATCATCTTCCATGAAGGCCTCCCCAAGTTGTTGCCATCTCTCACTGTCCCTCAGTGCAATTATCCACCCAGCATCTGCAGACGATGAACTCCCATCACTCCCTCTCCGCAGTAGACATCCTCTTGGGTGCGTTCCCTTCTCTGACTGCTGCCACTCAGCAGTTGTTCTCGCCTACTGGCCATCATCCTTTCCAGAGACGTGTCCTGCCCAAGTCCAATCCCTTTGTTTAACAGGCACTATTACCTCTCTAACCTGCATATGCTTTCTAATACATGCGTTCATCTTTCTGTCTCTCAGTGTAACTCCAAGTATGCGTCTCTCCATGCTTCTTTGCGCACTATGAGCTTCTGTTCCATCCTCTTCGTTAGTCTCCGTATTTCCGATCGGTATGTCATACTCTTCAGACACATTGCTGTGTCAGGTAATCAGGCTGACCAGTGATCAGTCTCATACTTGTTGCTCTTCTATCGCTCCCGTGAACTGCACTCATGAATTGCTTCCCCATGTTGAGGGCTCAGGCTCCGGGACTGCCCGTTGACTCTCGTCCGTACCGGTCACAACGCTTGTCTTGCTTCTTCACCTGCACTGCTCCACACTCGCATTCCCTCCTATTGTCTCTTTTCTAAAGCTCTTACAACCTTGCTCAATTAAAAAAAAACGTGTTAACTCTTACCTATTACAACTTTTATAGTGTTGTTTGTTGCTAGCTGATTGCCATTTGGGCATCTCATTAACTGTTTGGAATAGAGCTCCCAACAAAACATGAGATAACAATGCCACCTTAACAAAACCTAAGGAGATATTATTTGGGTCTTTCGGTAAATTCACGTAGATAAGTTCAAAGAAAATAACAAAAACTACGACGTTTCGATCGCAACACAAGCGGTCGCTATTAGGAAAAGGGGGGTTAGCTTCTAAAGGCAAACTCTTTACAAACTGTTTGCCTGTTTGCAAACTGTTAGCCTTTAGAAGCTAACCCCCCTTTTCCTGATGACGACCGCTTGTGTTGCGATCGAAACGTCGTAGTTTTTTGTTATTTTATTTGAACCTATCTACGTGACTTTAGCGAAAGACCCAAATAATATGAATTGCTGCAGTCACGAAAGCATTACGTCAAGATTTAACATAAGGAGAGTTTACAAATGTACCACTTTCACTCTTGGTTACAGTATTACTTGTCAGGCATATTGCACTGGAGAGGCGAGCCGTCCAGTCCTCCTTCACCATTGCTGGAATCTATGCAAGCCTTTTGAGCACTAAGACTCTCAGGACATTCTAATTTAAAGGCACTTAAAATTATCTCTCACCTCTTGGCATCGGGGTTAGCATTTAGATGCTAACCCCGAGCCCTCATTACTTTGATAGTGCATTGTCTTTGAGCTGTACGCCTTTTGGCGTCATCTGGTCGAGCACCAATTGGGTCGAGGCTCAAAAGAAAGCCGTCCCTTGGTGTGGACCAATCAGTTTCAAGGACAATGCATATATTATCATAGTATGTTTTTTGTTTGCATTTTGACTGCAGGTATTGTGGTTAATGCAGCCATGAATCCTTGTAAAAAGGTTTCAGTTTTGTTGCCAGAAAAAAGGGGAAAAACCCTATTATTATATTTTGGTATTGGCAAAGGTCTAATGAGGTAGATGCTAACCCCGAGCCCTCATTACTTTGATAGTGCATTGTCTTTAAGCTGTACGCCTTTTGGCGTCATCTGGTCGACCACCAATTGGGTCGAGGCTCAAAAGAAAGCCGTCTGTTTTTTGCATTTTGACTGCAGGTATTGTGGTTAATGCAGACATGAATCCTTGTAAAAAGGTTTCAGTTTTGTTGCCAGAAAAAAAGGGGAAAAACCCTATTATTATATTTTGGTACTGGCAAAGGAGGTCTAATGATGTAGATGCTAACCCCGAGCCCTCATTACTTTGATAGTGCATTGTCTTTGAGCTGTATGCCTTTTGGCGTCATCTGGTCGAGCACTAATTGGGTCGAGGCTCAAAATAAAGCTGTCCATTGGCGTGGACCAATCAGTTTCAAGGACAATGCATATATTATCATAGTATGTTTTTTGTTTGCATTTTGACTGCAGGTATTGTGGTTAATGTAGACATGAATCCTCGTAAAAAGGTTTCAGTTTTGTTGCCAGAAAAAAGGGGAAAACCCTATTATTATATTTTGGTACAGGCAAAGGAGGTCTAATGATGTAGATGCTAACCCCAAGACCTCATTACTTTGATAGTGCATTGTCTTTGAGCTGTACGCCTTTTGGCATCATCTGGTCGAGCACCAATTGGGTCGAAGCTCAAAAGAAAGCCGTCCCTTGGTGTGGACCAATCAGTTTCAAGGACAATGCATATATTATCATAGTATGTTTTTTGTTTGCATTTTGACTGCAGGTATTGTGGTTAATGCAGACATGAATCCTTGTAAAAAGGTTTCAGTTTTGTTGCCAGAAAAAAGGGGAAAACCCCTATTATTATATTTTGGTACTGGCAAAGGAGGTCTAATGATGTAGATGCTAACCCCGAGCCCTCATTACTTTGATAGTGCATTGTCTTTGAGCTGTACGCCTTTTGGCGTCATCTGGTCGAGCACCAATTGGGTCGAGGCTCAAAAGAAAGCCGTCCCTTAGTGTGGACCAATCAGTTTTAAGGACAATGCATATATTATCATAGTATGTTTTTTGTTTGCATTTTGACTGCAGGTATTGTGGTTAATGCAGACATAAATCCTTGTAAAAAGGTTTCAGTTTTGTTGCCAGAAAAAAGGGGAAAACCCCTATTATTATATTTTGGTACTGGCAAAGGAGGTCTAATGATGTAGACTAGGCAGGTGTGAAGCTGTGTTGCGTTTGAAATTTCTGATGTCAAATTTTCTGCAGGCCTCTCAGTAAGAACTGGTCGTACCTGGGGAAGAAGGGTGGAAAGCAGGATCTGTCCCTAGAGCCTGGGAAGGCGGTCAAAGGCATCGTTCTGCACGAGCTCATGCACGCCCTCGGCTTCCACCACGAGCACTCCCGCAGCGACCGCGATGCGCACATCTGGGTGCTGAAAGATAACATCAAGCCCGGTGAGAGAGCAGCAGAGGAGGGGCGGTGGCGTATGCAGACACATGACAAGTACAGTCGGAAGACGCAGAGAGTTACGACTGTAGTTTACTCGTAAGGATCCGATGTCAAATCCTGATCGGGATTGACTCGAACCGTCATCCCTCTGGGCTGGATAAAATTTGTACCACTTTTTGGTCATCCTATGTAGAGACATGGGATGTTTTTCATGGCTGAAACCAAATGCGAGCTTTGGCGCAATGCTCGTAGAGGTGTGGAGACGCTGTTTGACTTCTAAACAGCTACTCTATGTATATTATACAATGTGTTGTATTTGATGTGTTTGAAATCGTTTTAGAAATAAGTTACAGAATGTTCATTTATTCAATAGCATTCACTTCTAAGCACAAGTGAGACTGAGAATCCAAAACCCTTGTGCATTCTACAATGCACCTGCAGTCGTGTTTTATTACTAATGTGTACGCTTAATGTTTTTCAGAGTGGAGGCCTCAAATTGTGGATATTAAATCCACTGCTCAGGATTTAGCGGCGCCCTACAACTGCAACTCCATAATGCACTGCGGCATGTATGTACTTACTCATCGAGGGCCATAACCCGACACGAGCAGCAGGTGTGCGCAACACGTACGTATAGCTCCACACGGTGATGATGCTTGTGCTGTGTGTGTGTGCATGTGTCCAGATTGGGAGGCTCTATAGATAAGCGCAATCCGACTATCCTACCTAGAAAGCCTCTGCTCATGCAGCACATGGGATGCAGCAGCTCCCTGAGCCACGGTGACGTTGTGAAGGTGCAGAAGCTGTACGGATTCGAGGCGCCGCCACCTCCGCCCGTGCCAGTGCTCCCAGCGCATCAGCGCACCGCAGGTGCGTGCCCGAGCGCTGTGGCAGAGGCTGCACCATCTCCTGTCTCCTGCAGAGTGGGACCAGTGTGGCGCTTGATAGTTAGTGATGCTTAATAATAAATAGTTTTGGTCACGGGAGTACATATTTTTTATTCAAGAAAAATTGAAATACATCGAATCTGCTGTGATAGTGCAGACCACGATGTGCATCTAAGTGTATGTAATGTACACCTCATAGCAAGAGAGATTTGCAGATGTTTTCCAATTTGTATGCTTAACCAAACGTTGCTGGATTGCATTAGCCTAACAGGAGCATAGACTGATGACCTAAAAGTATTTAATGTCAAAAGACAGATATTTATTTTATTGCCCCACCAACAGACGGAAGATGCTGTCGAGACTCATTGAGCCTCTTCCCTCTCTGCTCCTCAGTGAAGCAACATGGCACACACTTCACCCACTCCTGTCGCCCGTGTTTCCCCTAGCTTCTCAGGGTCAGTGTGATGCACTGTTGCCTCGGGTGTTCGTGACTCTGCTGCAAGTTATTGAATAATTATTCATAATACAAGCATCTAGAGTGCGCATATGTGATTCTGTACGTCTGTGTGTACATGCATGTATGGACGTACATGTGTGTTTATACATATGTGTTTACAGTGAGGGAAAAAAGTATTTGATCCCCTGCTGATTTTGTACGTTTGCCCACTGACAAAGAAAAGATCAGTCTATAATTTTAATGGTAGGTTTATTTTAACAGTGAGAGATAGAATAACAAAAAAATCCAGAAAAACGCATGTCAAAAATGTTGTAAATTGATTGGCATTTTAATGAGGGAAATAAGTATTTGACCTCCTCTCAATCAGAAAGATTTCTGGCTCCCAGGTGTCTTTTATACAGGTAACGAGCTGAGATTAGGAGCACAATCTTAAAGGGAGTGCTCCTAATCTCAGCTTGTTACCTGTATAAAAGACACCTGTCCACAGAAGCAATCAATCAATCAGATTCCAAACTCTCCACCATGGCCAAGACCAAAGAGCTCTCCAAGGATGTCAGGGACAAGATTGTAGACCTACACAAGGCTGGGATGGGCTACAAGACCATTGCCAAGCAGCTTGGTGAGAAGGTGACAACAGTTGGTGCGATTATTCGCAAATGTAAGAAACACAAAAGAACTGTCAATCTCCCTCGGCCTGGGGCTCCATGCAAGATCTCACCTCGTGGAGTTGCAATGATCATGAGAACGGTGAGGAATCAGCCCAGTACTACACGGGAGGATCTTGTCAATGATCTCAAGGCAGCTGGGACCATAGTCACCAAGAAAACAATTGGTAACACACTACGCCGTGAAGGACTGAAATCCTGATCAAGAAAGCATATATACATGCCCGTCTGAAATTTGCCAATGAACATCTGAATGATTCAGAGGACAACTGGGTGAAAGTGTTGTGGTCAGATAAGACCAAAATGGAGCTCTTTGGCATCAACTCAACTCGCCATGTTTGGAGGAGGAATGCTGCCTATGACCCCAAGAACACCATCCCCACCGTCAAACATGGAGGTGGAAACATTATGCTTTGGGGGTGTTTTTCTGCTAAGGGGACAGGACAACTTCACCGCATCAAAGGGACGATGGACGGGGCCATGTACCGTCAAATCTTGGGTGAGAACCTCCTTCCCTCAGCCAGGGCATTGAAAATGGGTTGTGGATGGGTATTCCAGCATGACAATGACCCAAAACACACGGCCAAGGCAACAAAGGAGTGGCTCAAGAAGAAGCACATTAAGGTCCTGGAGTGGCCTAGCCAGTCTCCAGACCTTAATCCCATAGAAAATCTGTGGAGGGAGCTGAAGGTTCGAGTTGCCAAACGTCAGCCTCGAAACCTTAATGACTTGGAGAAGATCTGCAAAGAGGAGTGGGACAAAATCCCTCCTGAGATGTGTGCAAACCTGGTGGCCAACTACAAAAGACGTCTGACCTCTGTGATTGCCAACAAGGGTTTTGCTACCAAGTACTATGTCATGTTTTGCAGAGGGGTCAAATACTTATTTCCCTCATTAAAATGCAAATCAATTTCTAACATTTTTTAACATTCGTTTTTCTGGATTTTGTTGTTGTTATTCTGTCTCTCACTGTTCAAATAAGCCTACCATTAAAATTATAGTGTGATCATTTCTTTGTCAGTGGGCAAACGTACAAAATCAGCAGGGGATCAAATACTTTGTTCCCTCACTGTATATACATGTGTGTATGTACGTGGGGAGTGGTAGTGCAGCCGTTATCGCACTGTGCTACTAACCCGGCGACCTGAGTTCGATTGTTGCGAACGGCCAACACCAGTGACGATTATTTGAACCGGTCCTCGGCCTCCCCTAGGTCGACTCAGCCTCAAATGAGTACCTGGTGTGGTGTAAACATCGACCACTACGCAGACAAAGACAGCACTTGCCCCAACAGCCTGTTAAGGCTATAAGGGGGATCTTTGTCTTTTTTGCTTACATGCGCTCCAGTGGCAGAGGACAGGGCGCAGTTCCAGGAAGACATCCCCCTGGAAGAGTGCGTGGGGTCCCTGACGAGCAAGGTGATCGCACGACCTGTTACCACGCCCCACCCACTCGCTGCCTGCATCACCAACACCAGCACCACTTTCACCATCATCACCTTTACCACGAAGAGAACAAGAGGAGCAGTGCGGTGCTACATGTCGTTATGAAGCGAACCTGACACGCAGCTCATGCCACCATGTCAGTGTGCTTTTAGGTTTGAAAAACTTCCCAAGAAACATGTAGAAAATTTATTGAAAATGTTGGTATGGACTGCATTATAAATTGCATACATTTGAAATTGTAGTGGGAAAATGTCCCAAAGTGTGATTTGGGATTTTGTTGAAAACAGGAATAGGATAATGAGGCTTTGGTGTGCGGGGCAGGCCTCTCACTTTTCTTTTTTCCATCCACAGACGCAGAAAAGTGAGAATAAGCGAAGAAACACAAAAGGTGTGCGTCGCTTTTATTGCTGCCGCAATGTTCATTTGGGACATCACAGATTCATCTGTCTCTCATACAATGAACAGTAGGCATCATGGATAGTGGGAATTGTGAATAATGGCCATCATGGATAGTAGGCCTCATGGATAAGGGGAATGGACAATAGACTAAAAGGATAATAGAGCTCATACAACGTGGGAATCATGTGTGATGAGAGTGCGCCATCTAAAGGAGAATTGCATGGCCGCCGCTGGTCATTTGACAGCCAACCAGCAGAGGGGTTCCATCTGGGTCAGAGGGCAATGGGCGGAGCTATCTGGAAGGCACGAGAACCCTCTAGAAGGTTCCCTGGGGGGTGTAAGTAGTGGATATAAGGAGAGGCAAGAGAGGACTCGTGGTCGGTGTGGTGAAGCCTGGGTCAACACAAGTCGCCGCCATCTCTACTCTTCACCCGCCACGTGGCAGCTCTGCCAGCAAAGCCTACTCTCTCCAGCTCACTGTCAGCCAACGGCGAGAACAGAGAGAGAGCCGCATCGGACAGCAAAGGGGGGAAGTGCATGTCACGTTCCGTGAGAGAGAGAGAGAGCGAGGAAGACATGGCTGTGCAACAGTTACAATAAAGATGCCAGTCATCATATTCATATCGGAGGTGTTTATTACACATGGATAATGGGCATCATGTATAGTAGGCATCATTGATGAGGGATCATGGACAGTTGGCATCATGGATAGTGGGAATCGTGGATCATGGGCATCATGGCTAGTAGGCCTCGTGGATAATGGGCATCATGGACAGTAGGCCTCATGGATAATGGGCATCATGGACAGTAGGCCTCATGGATAATGGGCATCATGGACAGTAGGCCTCATGGATAATGGGCATCATGGACAGTAGGCCTCATGGATAATGGGCATCATGGACAGTAGGCCTCATGGATAATGGGCATCATGGACAGTAGGCCTCATGGATAATGGGCATCATGGACAGTAGGCCTCATGGATAATGGGCATCATGGAGAGTAGGCCTCATGGATAATGGGCGTCATGGACAGTAGGCCTCATGGATAATGGGCATCATGGACAGTAGGCCTCATGGATAATGGGTGTCATGGACAGTAGGCCTCATGGATAATGGGCGTCATGGACAGTAGGCCTCATGGATAATGGGCATCATGGACAGTAGGCCTCATGGATAATGGATGTCATGGACAGTAGGCCTCATGGATAATGGGCGTCATGGACAGTAGGCCTCATGGATAATGGGCATCATGGACAGTAGGCCTCATGGATAATGGGTGTCATGGACAGTAGGCCTCATGGATAATGGGTGTCATGGACAGTAGGCCTCATGGATAATGGGTGTCATGGACAGTAGGCCTCATGGATAATGGGTGTCATGGACAGTAGACCTCATGGATAATGGGTGTCATGGACAGTAGGCCTCATGGATAATGGGCATCATGGACAGTAGGCCTAATGGATAATGGGTGTCCTGGACAGTAGGCCTCGTGGATAATGGGTGTCATGGACAGTAGGCCTCATGGATAATGGGCGTCATGGACAGTAGGCCTCATGGATAATGGGTATCATGGACAGTAGGCCTCATGGATGATAGGCATCATGGACAGTAGGCCTCATGGATGATAGGCATCATGGACAGTAGGCCTCATGGATAATGGGCATCATGGACAGTAGGCCTCATGGATAATGGGCATCATGGACAGTAGGCCTAATGGATTATAGGCATCATGGACAGTAGGCCTCATGGATAATGGGCGTCAATTAAGGGTCTTAATTGATTGATCACGCTTAAGGTGGCTTTTAGACCGCATCCATTATTTTTGTCTCCCCCCTCCTCTTTTCCGAACATAATAACCGCCGCTTTTTCCAAATTTTCTTGTTGTGGTTTTCACACCTGATGATGATTGCTTGTGTTGCAGTCGAAACGTTGTGAGAATTTTATTGTTTTATATTTTATTATTTTATTGTTTCCCTTCTACGTGACTTTACCGAAAGAACAAAGAATATGAATCCCTGCAGTCACGAAAGCTTTAAATCAAAATTTAATATAATCATGTTTTTTTTGTTGCGATAAGGGGTGCTAAGCCGTCTTAGGCTAAGCGCTCCTTTCCATGCCTTGGTAAAAAAACAGAGCAACTGTCACAGACACACACACACGAGTACGCGTGTGTGTGTCTGTGTGTTCATGTACGAGATTGTCAACTCGGTCCATAGGTTGAGCGAGCGTGCGGATGTCTGCGTGCTCAGATTGGATCTTTAGCACTTCACCGGGTACTGATTGGCTGCAGGGTTTTGCAGAACGGGGCTCCACCCATTCCGCGCGGCGAATCAGCCCAACACAGTTCCAATCATTCCGTGCTTTGCACAATGTCTGCCGTTTTCAAGAATCCCACAAAAGGTTAATAAGAGACACTACATTAATTGGGGCCTCAATAACTATTCATGGCTGTGATTAAAGTTATAGTTTTATATATAGGGTTAAGTCAGGTTTGCCATTTTTTTAAAACATGCTTCATATTTGTGATGTTGTCCATGTAGCTTGTAATCTCATGTAGCCAGGTAACAAGAGCTTTTCACATCCTACATGATGTGAGTCATGTTGACCCTGTGCCAGCACAACTCTTTGGGGTTAGTCCGAATGACCAGGCCCTGGCTCACTGTTGGGCACAGAAAACTTGTAGCACACCTTTGGTATCAAGTGACCGATATTAAAATAATGGAGATGGACATATGCGAGTATCGTCTGAGATAACGTGGGGTCACCACGGTTTATTTATAATAATGACATTTATCCAGCAGAGCCACAGCTGAGTTGTAGGACTATTTTTCAGGAGGGGCCTGAATATTTTTTAAAGATGTTTTCAGTTAAATAATAAGTTTCTTATACAAGTGGGAGAAACCTGGAGCACCCAGAAAAAAACTCATATGCAGGTTTTGTGGAAACAATTAAATATTCATGGCGAATCCTGATCATTATAAAGGGTGCCATAGATTGGCTCTACGAAACATACAGATTAACGTTCAGACCTAAAGCATCATCACAGGTCTTAAGACTGGCTCAACAACACTGGAGTTTAGTCAGTTAGACTGTACATCCATTGAGACTCATGAAAAAATACCTCTTTTACAAGGACAACTTCATTGTTATGCTTTGATGTTATTAATATCGCAATACTATTTATATATGCAATCCCTCGTATTCAATCTTGGTAGAAAGTTGCTGCTTCAATGAACTTTTACAATGACGAACAAGTTAATTCAAAACAGACAGTTATTGGAGACGAAGACCTATGTTTTGGCCAGCTGGCCTTAGTGAAATGTTGTGGTTTACAACTAACAGTTTTAAATACGATGTGCAGCATTGACAGCATAAACCCAGTCCTGCCCATCACTTCCAGTCAAGCTAAAGCTCCCTGACTGTACAACGCAGCCAGGCAATATTGGCCGAATGTTGTTCTCATTCAGTGACCGCAAGAAAGAAAAAAAGCTGATTATTTTTAAATCGTTATTTTTTCAATCTCCATATCATGTGTTGTCTATACTGTGCAATAGGTATTGTGTACAGCAGATCTATTTTTATTTTACTGAGTTCTTGAAATATAATGGAATGTCCTTTTGACACGTGAATGGAGCAGATTGATCGGTATTGAATGCAATGTATTATTTCTGTTTAGAATGAAAATAGAATTGCACGTTATGCCATTTGTTCCCCATCCCTGATTTATAAGGAGAATGGTCGTTCGTATTTATACCACTTCTGGCTTCTGATCAAATTCCCAATCTTTCAGTGGTGGAGTGGGAGAAGAAAACAGAGCCCCTGAGGGCCGTTTTACAGCAACTGAAAAAGCTGTCCAGGTAATGAGAGATTGTGTAAGCAACCGTCAAATAAGGAGATGTGGGAGAGCTTCTGAGATGGAGAACCAGAGAATATGCATAGCGGGTGGACATTAATGGTAAGGGGAGAGGCAGTGGGCAGCAGCAGAGTTGAGCGAGGTGGAACGAGGTAGATTCAGTTGCAGTGTATGGAGAGAAGCAAATAAAGAGCTTGGCTCTATGGTGAGCGTGGTGCATGGAGAAATAAAGATTGAGAATGATGGGGGCTCAAAGGTGAGAGGAGGAGGAGTAGAGAGTGAAAAATTGGGAAGAGTGGGGAGAGAGGAAAATTAGAGCTGGCGTAGAGGAGCGTGGTACACAATAGAAAGTGATAGGAGTCTTGAGTTAGAAAGATGGGAGGGAGGTAAAGTGATGAGGGCAGATGGGGATGAAGATTGGGGAGGGGGAGATGGGCAAACTAGAGAGAGGTGAGGGTGATTAAATTGGTGTAAATTTTACAATTGGTGGAGAGAATGAGTTTTTAGAGAAAAAAAACGTAAAGTGGGAGTGAACACAGTGTGGAAATATAGTCACGATACTAAAGGAAGGCGGAATGGAGGGGTGAGGAATTGGTAGGGGAATTGCTGAGAGAGTGGAGACACTGAAATAAGAGTAAAGAGAGGCAGAGTTAGAGGAAAGAAGACAACGGGGAGTGAGGCGGAGTTTAAGTGGGGAGAGGGAGGCCAGCGTGCAGGATGCACACCAAGGCAGAGGAAAACTCAGTAAATACCCAGTGTGGGGACATTCTGTCCCTGTGCATGGCAATATAGTCTCAAGCTAAATGGCAATATTGAGGTCTGCTGGCCATGAGAGCGCTTTAGGACAGAGTTTGTGTAGTTTGCTATTTCTCTGTTGAAGGAGTGCAGACTCCAGTTGTTTACTATGTGGTCCATAGTGGAGGCATAAACATGGTAGAAGTGGAGAGAGATGGACAATAATTCAGAGAATAATGTAGGTGTGTTCATAGGAATAACGTTACAAATACTTTATAACAATGCAATTTTCTTATCCTCACTGAGTCTCTAGACTCTTAACCTTGAGAAAAGAAATCCCAACATGCAGGCCAGCCTGAGAAACTGCATTTTTACACAGATATACTTACATTTATTTACATATACACGTTACATGAATTGCAGATATGCATGTTGTGTCAATTACACAATTAAACATTACTCAATTACACACATACGAGATTACTTAAGTTACAAAAATACGCGAGTTGTATGCATGTATGTAGAACTTATTTGGCACAGTACGTAGCCAAGGGTACTAATCGGATGTGTGGGGGAAGGACAACTAAACACGAAAAGCAGTTCTAAAGACATGTTTTCCATCGAGCGTGACTTCAATCACACATGGGGGACTCCCATTACACACGTGTCAATTTTATTACACGTGCGACTTCAATGGCAAACATACACAAATAAGTTACTTCATATACACACATTTAACTTCAATCACACACGTGTACCACTCGCATTACCCAAAACAAATTGACGACTGAAGTTCTTTCTGATCCCTGTTGCAGCTATGACAGCTCCACGGTGCCGATCCTGCAGATGCTCTTGGATCTGCTGTCCGCACAACAATCTAAAGACAGGAAAGACATGTTGGACGCTTTTATACAGGAATCTGGAGATTGTACGTATTGTTTACTTTGTGTAGGCTTCTCATTGTTTGAATCGTGTCTGATGTAATGCGTATTACTTTCCTTAAAATAAAAAAATAATAAAATAACTATCCAGTTCACTACAGAGGATATTGCTTTAAAAATCTGAATACATTTAATTAAAATTTTCTATTAATTATTAGTACAGATGAGTGGATACTGGTAAATTAGTTTTATGGCTTTAAAACCTCAAAACTTTGTAAAATATATACGTTGTTGAATGTACTGTCATCAAACTATAACTTAAAAATATATCTGCAATAATGGTTTGGCATCATGCCCAGGAACTGCCATATAAAGTAAATGTGTTTATCCTGGTCAATATTCTTTGCAATCCTGCAGCGCTCCAGCAGTAGAGTTCAAGCACTCGACGGTTTCTCCCTGCTCCAGTGAGCAAGGGAGTGGCACAGATCCCCATGAGGGGCTCTGAGCCAGTGGGAGAAATTCCACAGAGTGGGAGTCCTCAATAGGTCAAAATACCCAGCCACTGCGCTTGCAAGTGGGTAGGTGCCATATGTTTATTGATGGCATCATATACATATATAAACTTGATAACAATATCTATTTTATTGTCTTTGCTAAAACCAGGTTTCTAGAGTGTAATCAGGTACCCATAAATAATGAGCATTTATCTCCCAATGGGTTTTACTTGTGCCAAATTAAAACCAAAAATAAAACCTTAATTTGAATATGTAAATACACACTCCAAAAATCCCAAAATGTGTAATGTTGGTTGCCATAAAAAAGCAAAAGCAAGGCTGATGCATATTGTTCTGTGATGGATATGTGTCCTTATTCCCATCAGTGTTGAGGTTGATCATAGAAGCACCAAAACCAGACAGTGCAAGACAACGCCTCCTGTGCTTGGTGCAGAAGATTTCCATTGCGGTATCCAATTATTATGCTGAGGAAGGTGAGAGATGTTTTCACGCTTAAACTCCTGGTTGTTGTGATCCAATCAGAATGAATTGTGCACCTGTACTGGACAAAGACTCAATGTTGAGCAAGTCCAATGGTTTTTTACAAGGCTGACTAATTTCCCTGTAACATAAATTCTACTTGGATCAACGTGATTGACCATGCAATTTGCTTCAGTTACTTTTTATGATCACACACCTGGCAATTACAAAGATGAATAGGCCTCCTGAAATGCAATGGGGATCTCTCTGTGATTTACACCAACGTGCCTTTCTGTAATTGAAGTTACTGAGATTATTCTCATTCTGTCTGTGAACATGAATACAAAGGGGTATAGAGACAGTCATGTGTACACATGCATACAAATGCACACACAAAACAACTTGCATACACATGTAGAGGAGAGAAATATGCGGTGCTCGCAGTTAAGCGGATGCAACTGAGGACAAACAGGTGTGCGTGTTGCAACATGAGGTTTGCACAGATAAACCGCCAGTAATTAAGGGTAGAAGCGGGTGCAACCGAGGTCGAACAGGTGCTACGCTGTAACCCGGGGGTTGGCACCTAGGAGACTGGGAGATGGGGGGGGGATAATAAGAGATTAATGGGAAGCTAGATTAATAGATGAAGCTAATCCCAGTGTTGTGGTTCTGGAATGAGTCTTGCAGCATGGTAGAAAACACCATGCTGAAGAGAGTTGGCACTAAAACGCAGCCTTGCTTCACCCCATTTGTGATTGGGAACGGATCAGAGAGTTCTTGCTGGTCTCTGACGCTAGCCATCATGCCATCATGGAGATTGCGCATGATGCCAATGAACTTGTCTGGACACCCATACTTAGCCATGATCTTCCATAGGCCCTCCCGGTTGACTGTGTCGAATGCTTTTGTTAGATCAACGAAAGACATATATAGATTAGCATTTTGTTCTTGGTATTTCTCCTGTAACTGCCGGGCAGTAAATACCATGTCAGTGGTTCCGCGGTCTTTTCTGAAAGCACACTGACTCTCAGGTAGCAGACCATGGTCTTGGCGGACAATTAGGCAGTTCAGAAGGATTCTTGCCAAGATTTTGCCAGCGATTGATAGTACGGAGATGCCTCTATGGTTGTCGTAGGCCTGCCAATTGCCTTTCCTCTTATAGAGATGGATCATAGAGGCATCCTTGAACTCCTCGGGAATGGCTTTTAATTTCCACAGAGGCTGGAAGAGGTCGGTCCGTTTCTCGGCTAAGTGAGGCCCTTCAGCCTTGTAGATTTCCGCTGGAATGGCATTGGACCCTGGAGCTTTGCCTGATGAGAGGTGGCTTATTGCTTTGCTGGTTTCCTCAATGCATGGTAGAACAGCACGTGACTGATTTATTTCAACTTGAGGCAGACTCGCAATTGCCTCCTCATTTATGCATGATCGCTGGTTGAGGACTGCGATGAAGTGTTCAGCCCACCTTGCAAGTATTTTGTCCTTCTCTGTGAGGAGTGTTGTTCCATCCTCATTCAGGAGAGGTGAAGTTCCTGAGTGTTGCGGACCATAGACCTGCTTGAGTGCATTATAGAAGCACTTGGTGTTTTCAGCGTTTGACTGAATCTCCTCAGCTTGTGCGCACAGCCAGGTGTCTTGCATGACTCTGAGTCTCCGCTGGACAACCCTGCGAATGTTGAGGAAAGCAGTTTTCTTTAAGCCTGAGCTGCTGTCATTCAGATAGGCTTCATGCAGGTGATGTTTTTCGTCAAGTAGTGCTTGCATTTCTGTATCGTTCTCATCAAACCAATCTTGATGTGTATGTATGGGAATACCAAGTGATTCAACGGCTGTAGAATGCAGCAAGGTCTTGAGGGCAGTCCAGTCTACCTCAGCGTCTGTATGCTCAAAGCTTAGAGACTCCAGGTGATGGTCTAGAGCCTCAACAAAGGCCAGTTTGGTGTGTTCCTGTTGTAGGCGAGTGATGTTAAGACGTTTGACACGTCTTTTTCCTTGTGGGCGTCGGGGAGGCTTAATCCGGATGTTAAGTTTGGAAATGATGCGACGATGGTCAGTCCAACATTCAGCACTACACATTGCCTTGGTCACCCTGACATCGTGCCGGTCGCTCCTCCTCATGATGACGTAGTCAATCAAGTGCCAGTGGTGTGAACGAGCATGCATCCATTAAGTTTTCTTGTGCTTTGGTAGTTGGAATATCGTGTTGGTGATGAGCAGGTCAAATTCAGAGCATGTTTTCAGCAGCAGAAGGTCATTGCTGTTACATTTTCCAATGCCATGTGCACCTATGACTTCATTCCATGATTGATGGTCACTTCCAACTCTGGCATTGAAGTCACCAAGTATCAGGAGTTTGTCAGAGCTGGCTGTGGCAGCAATAATGACTTCCAGGTCATTATAAAACTTGGTGTTGATCTCGTGAGAGTCGGTCATGCTAGAGGCATAGGCTCTGATGATGGTGGCCTCCTTTTTACCCATTAGGTGGAGATTTACGGTCATTAAACGGTCGTGTATACCCTTGGGTAGGCTTGCCAGTTGGTTGACCAGGTGTTTTTTTTTACTGCAAAACCAACACCAGCATCACGTCTCTCCTCCTGGCCTCGTCCGCTCCAGAAGAATGTGTAACCTGCACCCACTTCAGTCACCTGTCCAGTATTGGCCAGTCGGGTCTCACTAAGGGCAGCAACATCTACATATCTGGCCAGCTCTCTGCCCACGAGGGCGGTGCGTCTCTCAGGTCTTTTTGATCCTGATGTGTCCATCAAAGTGTGCACATTCCAGGTGCCAACAGTGAGTGGTATCACTTTGGTCTTTTTTTATTTTATTTGTTTTTCGACCGCAGGTATGGGATCCCGCCAGCTGCGGTAGGCTGGCCAGGATGTTTTGAAGCAGGCAATGTTTAGGATGCCTTTTCCAACCCTTTCCTTACTATGGAGGTGAGCATTGTGATCCTGAATAGGGCTGCTCAGTCACTCAGGGCGCTGCCGGACTTCACTGCTGCTTCGGTCCAGTGAGGGAACGACCAATATCCTGAGCCGCCTGCGTGCAGGTTTGCGGCTACAGCGTCTAGCATATCCGTGCCTGCTGCTTCGTCGCTCACCCATCGCCACAGGACTTGGATAATGACGATGGTAAAAAAAGTGCCATGACCTGCGTAGAGAAGTTGGATTTAAGTGAGGGTGATTTGCGCAGCGTCAACCTCACTCTCTCGACCAACCCCATCTATACCCAGTGGCAAGACGTAGTCAAGACGACTGGAGATGGTCCTGGTTGCAGTGGAAGGTCCAAAGACCCTTTTGGTGGAATTTCCTCCACCAGGGGTTCCACATGCCCAGGCTCAGACAAGCTGAGTTTTCCGGGTTAGTTAACCGCCACCCGGGGTTCGGCGTTGGCAGCTGCTGACTGTACCGACTCACCAGGGATGTTAAAACCTGGTGTGCGCCTACGGTAGCAGTTAAAGGGCCAGGCCAGATGGAACAAGCCTGAGGCACAACTAGCTGGTCAGACAACTGGTGCCTGCCTGGCGGCAGCTTAAGTGGAAGCATGTGAGGTCTCGGGATGAGCAGGGGGATATAAGCAGGAGAGTGTGTTAGCAAGGGGAGTTGTTGCCAGGAAGCAAGAGTGAAGACATCTCGCCGCTACCGCTCCAGCCGTCAACGGGACCTTAACCCTCACGCCATCGCCGGGCGGGTGTTGGCTGAACACCCCGCCCGGGACAGACGGGTGAGCGGGTCTGAGGGAGCGTAGGTGAGGGCAGTGGTGGAGATGCGAAGTTACTGTGTGCAGAGTCGCTGAGGGCGATGACGCTGTGTGCGGAGTCGCTGAGTGCGAAGACGTTGTTTGCGGAGTCACTGAGTGCGAAGCTGCTGTGTGCAGAGTCGCTGGGTGCGAAGCTGCTGTGTGCGGAGTCGCTGAGAGCAGAGCTGCTGAGTGCAGGATAAGTGAGGTGCAGAATAGATAAGAGCGGGGAGAAGTTAAGTATATGTGACCGTACAGAAAGTTATAGGAGTGCCTATAACTGGCGCAAGAACAGGTGAATGAAGTGTAAGCAAGTGACTTGTTACAACGTGTCGGTGTGAGTAATTTTTGAAGACACTGCACACATACACGAAAATTACACGTGCATACATACACAGATATAAACAGAAATGCACACCTACAATTACACAAACACATGCAAATACGTATACATACAGAGATAGCAGCAGATACTACAGGGTGACGGTCATAATAATTAACTCTAGCCAACGTGTTTCCATGATGAAACAGGCACAGATAGGTAAGCAACTATTGGCAGAGCTAGTGGCGGATTTTCCACATTCCTTTACCAGGAATATGTCTATCCATAGGACAATCCGTGATGTCCACTCCCAATGCCTTTGATGATGTCTACTCCCAATGCCTCCCATGATGTCCAGTCCCAATGACTACCAGGATGTCCACTCCCAATTCCATCCATGATGATTACTCCCAATGCCTTCCATGATGTCCATTCCCAATGCCATCTGTTAATTCCACTCCCAATGTCATCTGTGCTGTCCACTCGCTATGCCATCTCCAAGATGTGAATAACATGCATCCATTTTCCACCAAGCATTTTAAATATCTGCCAAACCAAGCATATTTCTTCAGTGAATCATATATATTTTTCAACATTGTAATCCAAAAAGTATGTTTTACTTTGATACTAATGTTGAGGAAACTTTTTTTCTTTCCACTTTTATAGGATTTGTAATTTAACTAACCTATACAACTTCTATATGATATTGCTCTACTGTTGTAACAATAATAATCATGTCTGTGCCAGGAGGACAAGCAGGAATGTCTTTCAAAAATGGGGACGTTGCTGGAGACCTCTCAGAGGAGGTTGTGGAGTGGCCCAGGCACCAGGATGGCAAGGTGTACATCCCCTACCACATCTCCATCGCTTTCAGTGAGTGCAGTACACATGGCCTGCTTCTAGCGTGGCTGACATTACCTGGGTTTTTTTGTCTTCAGGCTGGGCTATGTTACATGAGCCTCATAACCCTAGGTTGAGTTACTTTGCCTCTCACATGTTACCAATATTTAGGTTTAAGACATTAAATCACCTGCATCTTTTGGCCTAGGTTGGCTTACATTGCACGGTTACAAATAATGCAGCTTGTTGCGTGTCCTTTATTGGTAGCTGGTCAAACTATTTGTCAGCGTGCTTATTGATGAGCCAGTTTTATCCCTTGTTTGGTAACATTTCCGCCACCACCTTCAGAGTTTCTTCATAAATTACCACATAGTGCTAAAGAGAATATTAAATACTCGGACATTATTCACAAGAGTCATCCATAATGTTCTTCTGTCATGTGTGTTGGGGAAAGGGAGGGATAATATCACATATCTGAGACTTTTTTGGCAGTATCAAATGTACTCTTTGGTTCTATTCGGTAAAGTCACGTAGGTAAAAAATAAAACAACAAAAATCACGACGTTTCGGCCACAACACAAGCGGCCTTCATCAGGTGAAGGGACCAGACTGTCTTGAGGACAGCGCTGGAGTGAAACACAGCCACGCTCAGACCGCGACATTTGAGCTGTGTGCGAGGAAACAAGGTTCCTTGACAAAGGAGTTAGCATAAAAAATAGCATTTGATTGGCTGACTTAGCATGATAAACGGTGTAGAGGTGGTGTACATGCGGGTGAACATGCCGGTTGGCGAGGGGGGGAGGGGGAGTTTACCTATTGATGGTGTGAAAAGGGAATTTTTAAGAGCTGCGAAAGTTTGGGGCACCACGACTTGAAAAATATACTGTACCATTGAAAATTAGTTTAATGTTTGGTTCGATTTAGAACATCTTTCCAATGGTTGCTTAATTTGAAACCATCTTCTCGGTTGAAATTGTGTCTGTGTTTGTAAATCTGAATTGACTCGTGAACAAATCTCTGATAAAAACCCGTGGGTTTGCAAAGAACCTTGGTATCGGAGAAAATTATATCATGATCACCCACAGCGTTGTAACAGTGATCAGCTACGGCAGAAGAATTCGTTCTGCCGTGTTTCAAATCTGATTTGTGCTCGCGAATTCGGTCAGAGACATGTCGCTTTGTCTCCCCGATATAGCAATCACCGCAGGTACAACTCAATTTGTAAACCCCAGGGTACTGTAAGTCAGGAATGACATCCTTCACGGATGGGATCAGATCACGAATTTTGTGTACTGTATTGAACCGGACCTGGATCTTGTGTTTGTTTAGAATTTTGGAAATCTTTTTAGTAATGCCTGCTATATATGGTAGTGTGATGGTTTTGACCGGAGTATCAAGTGGTTGTTTCTGTATGGAGGGAGAAACAGCTTGGCGGATGGTACGGTCAGAGTATCCATTCCTTTTGAGGGCCAGGTGTACATGTTTTAATTCACTGGTCAGGTGGTGTTGGTCCGAAATGCAATGAGCCCTATGGTATAAAGTTTTGATGAGAGACTTCTTTTGGGCTGGGTGGTGGTGGGAATCAGGTTTCAAGTAGGAATCTGTGTGGGTGGGTTTCCTGTAGACAGAATGCCCCAATGAGCCATCAGATCTCCTCTCAAACAGAACATCTAAGATGGTAGCTTGCCATCTTTCTCCACTTCCATGGTGAATTTGATGGCGGGATGTCTGGAATTGATGTGGTGTAGGAAAAGGTTCAGAGCTGGGAGGCCATGTGCCCAAATGACGAAAGTGTCATCCACATATCTCTTCCACAGGGAAGGTCTGAGGGTGGAAGTCTGGATGGCGTCTGATTCAAATTTCTCCATGAAAATATTGGCTATCACTGGTGACAAGGGAGATCCCATGGGGGTACCCTCATTTTGTTTGTAGAAGGAGCCATTCCAAGTAAAGTAGGTATTGTTGAGGCAGTGCCTAACCAGTGCAGGTGTATCGGGGTCTAGTTCATGTTGGCCCAAATTTTCAATTATTTCAATGGTATCAGGTACTAGTTCATAGTTCATAGTTCATTTATTTGGTATAGCCCTGTGAGCCATTCGGCTCTTGAATCGGGTGCAACCGCAACAAACAAAAAACATGAACAAGAAAACATCTTAAAGTGATTATGTGACTGTGCAAACATAAAATACAGGAAAAAATATCAAAATATTCCTGAAATAGCACCGTACACCAACGCTGTGTGCAAAAATTCCAGTGGGATGCAAGTCAAATAACAACAACAACCACAAGACAACTAAGATTAAGGCCATCAGTCTAACTCCGTACTACAATAAACAAAAAACATGGCCAAAACAAAAAAACTTTTCGAAATCACCAAAATAAAAGCCATACATCCAATGTAACAGTGATCATAGGGACTGTGACCGAATTTTTAACAATAAACTACATAAATAAATGATAACACCAAAATCTAGAGCCATATTTTAGGCCACTGAATAGCAGTGGCAGCTAGGGTTGTACAACTCCTCTAGAGCAGTTTTGAGTGAAGATCTCATAGGTAGTGATTCAAGTTGCAGTTTATTGGCAATAGCATTCCAGACCCTGGGGGCATCAATAGCAAAGGCCCTTCCTCCAGTTTTTGTACGGCAATAGGGAATGTGAAGCTGGTAAATGAGCGAAGACCTGAGGTCAAATTTGTTCTTTGAAACAGAGAGGAGATCCAGTAGGTAGTCTGCGGAATTTTTTGTAAGTACATCGTGAATAAATAAGAGCTGGTGCACAAGCCGTCGAACATTAAGAGATGTTAATTTTGACCCAATGTAGAGATCACAGTGGTGAGTCCTATATGGGCAGTTCAATGCAAATCTTAAGGCCGAGTGATAGATGGAATCAAGCTTCTTCAGTACAGTACTTGGGGCTGATTTATACACAATGTCACAGTAGTCAAGTAGAGGCAGTATGGTAGCTTTTATCAATTCCAAACAGAACATTGGGGGGAAGCAGTGCTTGTGTCGATACAGAAAACCAATTTTTATTTTTGTCTTTTTACCAATATAATCAATGTGATCTTCAAAACTAAGTTTTGAATCCAGGATGACCCCAAGATACTTATAGATCTTGACTTGCTCTATTTGATAATTATTCAAGGAATGTAATTGGGGAAAAATAACTTCCTGCTTTAGTCCCGGAGAGAAGCATAGCACATTGGTTTTGGAGGTATTCAGGACTAGTTTAAGAGAAACTAGCTGATGTTGTAGTTTGTTGAAATCACCCTGGAGCTTAGCAATCACGTCATCCGGAGAGCGGCCAGCAGTAATCAGTATCGTGTCATCTGCAAAAAGATTTACCCTGGAATGATCCAGTTTAGTGCCCAAGTCATTGACATAAAGAGAGAACCTTGGTGAACAAAGAGACCACATCGAAGCTGACAAGGTTATCGTCAGGGGACAGTACAACGTCTTTGACCATAGAGATCAATTGGGCTGAGTTAAGTACTGCTGAGGTGGTCTTGCCAGTGAAAGGCAGCAAGGTATCTGACAGAAAACGGGCTAGTCTATAGGTAGGGGAGTTGATCGTGGATACGATGGGTCGTAGTGGGGTGCCTTCTTTATGAATCTTGGGGAGACCATAGAATCTAGGGGGTCTTGCAGCAGAAGGTTTTAGGGAGGGACGTTTAGTTGGGTCGATTAGGGAGGTCGAACTTGTGATGATCTTGTTGGTTTTTATCGCTAGGCTATTGGTAGGGTCATTTTTAATTTTTGAGTAACTTCCATCGTTGAGCAGATTCTGGATTTTGTTGTATGAATCTTTATCCATAATTACAGTAGCGTTGCCTTTATCGGCTGAGAGGATGACTATATCACTTCTGTTTTTTTTTTTAATTCGCGAGTTCAGAGCGTTCATTTTTGCTAATGTTACTAATGGGTTTCTTAGCATTCTTAAGAATAGTGGCTATTTCAGCTCTCGCAACGTCTGCTTGGATGTGTCCTACGCCTTTGAGGGCTACATCGACCTGAGAGATGATATCATCTACTGGTATGTGTTTTGGGGTGACAGCAAAATTCAGTCCCCTAGCCAGTACTGTTTTCAGATTGTACGAAATCGGGGTGCTACTCTGATTAATGACGATTTTGTTGACGTCTAGTTTTGTTATATGTGGAACTGGGTTCTTCTTTGATATGTGGTTGAATTTAGAAATCACCATCAATAGGTAAACTCCCCCTCCCCCCTCGCCAACCGGCATGTTCACCCGCATGTACACCACCTCTACACCGTTCATCATGCTAAGTCGGCCAATCAAATGCTAATTTATATGCTAATTCCTTTGTCAAGGCACCTTGTTTACTCGCACACAGCTTAAAGGTCGCGGTCTGAGCGTGGTTGTGTTTCACTCCAGCGCTGTCCTCAAGACAGTCTGGTCCCTTCACCTGATGAAGGCTGCTTGTGTTGTGGCCGAAACGTCGTGATTTTTGTTGTTTTATTTTTACCTACGTGAATTTACCGAATAGAACCAAAGAGTATGGATCCTTGCAGTCACGAAAGCTTTAAATCTAGAAAAGTATCAAAAGTATGAAGAAAAAATAAGAATAGGTTGAACTTCATGCCATGAGAAAGGTATCTATTTTTGTTTGAAGAGCTGTATTATTGCCTGAAAAGTGAATCCCTATTTTTATTTTTTCATACTTATGATATCACATGTTAGAACCTGCATTGTGAAAAAGTAATAAACGAGTATTTCCCGAGTAGTTATTGCTTGCTGAGTATTGTTAATAACAGATGTGTTTCTTCTGGGATGTCACCTAGCAATCTATAAGATACTGAAATACTGCACTTCATCATATGAGTAAATTATTGGTACTGTTACACGTGTATTCCTCTTCATTTATGGTATAATTCGTTTTTTATTTCTTACATAGTTTTGATGGTTCCCATATGTAGTGAGCTTGCAATGATTTACCCCCTTCCCCATCGATTCCGTGAACTGCCACAATTTGGGATAATATTTTGATTCAATAAATAATTATTTTGTTGATGTTTGTACTTCTCATTATATTTTTTTTCTGTTATTTGTACATATGTGTTCACTGTAATAACAGCATGTTATTTGCATGCAACTTAAATTAACAATTCAATGCATTCACATGCAGGATAGAGTAGAGAAATCAATAACTTATATTAAACGATGAATGGATACATCATAACTTGCCTGTTATTTATGATTTATCAGCTTCTTTTGAGTGTTTTATATGATCATTGTTTAATGCTCATGATGATCGATGTAAAAATACATTGACAATCCAGCATTTAACGAATGTATTCTAACTCTGATAAATGCTTTGCATCAAACTTGAGAAATGTGAGAAAAGTGGAATGAAGCCTCCTTATTACATTCCCATATCTGGGATTTTCCTCATCCAGCGAGTCATTTGTTTCAGTCCCAGGATATCCCCATAGATACACTGGTAAATTATTTCACGACAGGTGTTCCCAAGTCAAGTTTCCCCAGCACACTATTCTCTACCTCTTGCCTAGGCTGGCAGGTTTTTTAAAATCCAATGGGCGCTCTGACGTCGGATATGGGCAGTGCATAGCTACAGATCATGGCGACCTGTAGCGACACACAGTTTCTGTCACCCCACTCATCTCCCATGCTCTTGCTCAATCCATGTATCGAAATGAATCTTCCACCCTGTGCCTATCTCCATCTGTTTCATCCATGTATCTCCTACACACTGTTCCTCTTTCACTCCACGCATCTCCAACACTGTGCCCATCGCCACCTCTTTCACTCCACGCATCTCCCACGTCTCACTAGATACCTCTATCCACTGTGTGAAAATGTATATAGTAATTCGGGAATTTAAGTCGTCATGAGCCCAGCATGGATATGTGTGGAGTTGGCATAAGCAGAGAGATGCATAGCATGGAGATATGAGAGATAGAGACAGAGAGCCACAGTTGAGATGTACAGTATGGAGCAAGAAGGAAAGTCTGAATCGAGATATTTGCAGCATCCGAGAGGCAATGAGCATGAGAAATAAGAAGCTGAGCAATACACACGTAAAAATAAATAATGGACACTGTGGTGGTGAGACGTTATCTCCCTCGCTCGGTATGCAGGAGATCATGGGTTCATTCCCGACCCTTATACCTGCATATATGGATTTTGCATGTTCTTCCTGCGGTTGCGTGGATTTTACTCCGAGTCCTCCATTCTTTCCCTCCACATTTAAAAACATGCATTTAGAGTTTTTGGCTACTCTAAATGTCCACATGATAAGCCACTACGTGGGACTATCATTTCTGAAAAAGGTCAGTAAGCTTTCCCTGGTAACATAAAAAATAGTTAATTATTACCTATGCCATTTTACGACAGAGAATAACTGTCCCTCTTACAACATTAACCCACATCTATCACTCAATATGGCCATCCCTGAATAACTTAATATTGTGTAAGTGCATTTTTTTTAAACAAAATTTATTCCATAAAATATGCTGGGTGTTGTATTGTGTAACTTTTATTTCAGATGAAAAAGACAAGAGTGAAATTAAACGAGCTATTGCGGAGTTCACAAATAAAACCTGCATCCGTTTCATACAGAGAGAGGAAGCACATGAGGACTACATCAACGTCCAAGCGCTGGAAGGGTCAGTGCCGTTTGATTCAACTCGCACATAAATTCCCACATGCGTTATGTGGCGTCTGTACTGTAGCGTTCCTACGCCTGTGGTTCCTCAAGGTGCATGGCATGAGAGGGCAGTGTAAATAATTCGTGGTGGTGATGGCATCTGCCTAATCATGGTAGTGTCAATAGTGTGAATGTACTGTACACAGTATAAATACAGCCTTGTTTCTGGGTGTGAATTACACAACAATGTACCATGTAACAAAATACTATAAAGAGTGCTTGCCTACTATTATTTTAATCATGTTCACATGCAATAACTATGATGCACATTGTTTTCATATGCTGTTAGTCATATTACAGATGTGACATGAACCTAACAATCAAAAGTATGAAAGGGAGGGGTTGAAGAACAAAGTCAACAAATGGTAATTTTAAGAAAATCTAACTATCCCAAAACAGTGGTTAATTTGAAATGGCACTTGTACTCTAGTACTTACATGTGTACTTACAAAGGGCATGGAGCAAGATGAACAGAAAGTATTCACATTGAGAGCCGATGGGTCTTCAAAATGTGCTTAAATCGTGGTGAGAAAGTCGACAGTGATTATAGATGAGTGGGTCACTCAGTCTTCAGTTTCAAATACAATGCATATGTAGCGCTGTAAAAGGGCCCATGTACACTTACCATGTAGTGCTACTTACCTGCAGTAGCAGACGGGGTCTACCAGGGGCAATTACTCTAACCGGCATACTGGCCATTCGATTTCCCAGCCCCGAGGCAAGAGGGGACTGCGGGGTGTTCTGAGATTCCCCCGGGACCCCCCCCCCCCCCCCTTGGAACTCTCTGGAAGGGAGGCATAGCCGGGGGCAGATTCACCTCTGGAGGTGTATAAAAGCCGGACCTCTGGACGAGTCCGGCAGCCAGTTGAAGACAGAAACCAGAAGACCAGCTAGTCTAAGACCCTGGGAACCCTGTGACCTGCCGTCCTTGTAAGGGCCGGGTCTGAGCGGGCCAGTGGTGAGACCCAGGGAACCCCAGGAACCCGATGTTCTTGTCAGGGCCGGGACCGAGCGGGCCAGTGGTCGGGACCCGTACCTTAGCTGGGTCGGGTCAGAGTAGCCTCCCCTAGGTCACCCTTAGCCGGAAGACTGTGAGCCGAAGTCCGAGTAATAGGACATGCCAGTCCAGAGGCAGTGAAGGGGTGAAGGGGTGAAGGGGCCACTACCACTTTGTGTTAGGGTTTGCTAACGCTATTGTTACTGTACCGTTTATCGTAATAAACGTATTGCCTCAACCGGACCGTCTCCACTCTCATCGAGCCCACTACACATATATTGATTTGAAGCTTTCGTGACTGCAGTAATCCATACTCTTTCGTTCTTTCGGTAAAGTCACGTAGGTAGAAAAAATAATAGATCACGACGTTTCGATCGCAACACAAGAAACCGTCATCAGGTGAAAATTTTTATAGCGAGAAAGCTGCTGAAACACGAAGTTATATAGGCTTGAGATAAGCCCAGCCCAAGGGTGAGTGGGCAGGGCTGGAAGTGGAATTTGCATGTAAATACAACACCACATCGTGGAAAACGAGAGAGGGACACGTAAGCCACAGCCAGATATGCTTGAGATAAGCTCAGCCTAAGGGTAAGTGGGCGGGAGGTTGAATTTGCATGTAAATACAATACCACATCGTGGAATAGGAGAGAGGGACACAAAAGCCGCACAGTCAGATAGGATTGAGATAAGCTCAGCCCACGAGTAAGTGGGTGGGAGGTGTAATGTGCATGTAAATACAACACCACATCGTGGAAAAAGGAGAGAGGGACACATAAGCCACACAGCCAGATATAGGCTATTAATGTAAAGACACTTAACTTGGTAATGTAAGACAACTACAGCAAGAGAGAGACTCACAGAGAGTCGGAAGTAACAACTGACATTGGCAGGTAGGATGGAAACATCCCAGTCAATTAAGACTTTGCCTGGTTAATGACGTCCTTTCAATGATTGCTCAGTTTGTACCCATCTTCTCGGTTGAAGTTGTCCGTGTTTACATATCTGGATGACTTCATGAACAAATCTCTGAAGGTAGCCGGTGGGTGTGCAGAGTACCTTTGTCTCCGAAAAATATATTTTGTGTGAGCCCACAGCGTTAAAATAATGATCAGCAACGGCAGAGTTATTGGTCTTTCCGTGTTTCAGATCTGCCTTGTGTTCGCGTACGCGGTCCGAGACATATGGTTTCGTTTCCCCAATATAACTGCTGCCGCAGTCACAACTCAATTTGTAGACACCAGAGTACTGCATGTCAGGAATCACATCCTTTACAGATGGGATCAAATCACGGATTTTGTGTACTTTGTTGAAACGAACTTGGATCTTGTTAACTGGAAAATAATGGCAAGCTACCATTCCTGGATGTTTTTATCGAGAAGAGACCTGATGGCTCGTTGCATGTCCGACCAGCACCACCTAGCCAGTAAGCTGGAGCGCGTACACCAAACCCTCAGGATCAATGGCTATTCTGACCATACAATCCGCAAAGCTGTCTCCCCAGCCATGAGGAGACGACCATCTGAGTATCCAATCAAAACCATCACTTTGCCATACATAGCAGGGGTTACCAAAAATATTTCCAAAATCGGGCTACTATCAAAGGTTTTATTTTATACCTACGCGACATTACCGAAAGAACCAAAGAGTATGGATCCCTGCAGTCACGAAAACTTCCAATGTAGATATCAATGGTTTGTTCATGAAGCCATCCAGATATATAAATATAGACGTAACTTCAACCGAGAAAATGGATACAAATTGAACAATCATTGGAAGGATGCTATTAACCAGGTAATGCCTTAACTGGTTGTGGTTGTTTCAATCGTTTTTAACGTACCCGCTGTTCTTCTAACACCCTTTTTTCTCTTTTCCCCCGTGTCCACACTCAGCTTCCCTCTTCTATCCCAGCCCACTTTCCCCCCCCAGCCTCACGTCCTCTTCCCCTCGCGCTCACGCGGCCCCCCTCCCCCTACCCCCCCCCCTCTCTCTCCCCCATTGCTCGTCCCCCCTCTCTTACCTATATAGCCTCTTGCCACGGCAGCTCTCTCGATCATTTCTGCATTTTTCTTGCTGTGGTTGTCCCACCTGATGAAGATTGCTTGTGTTCTGATCGAAGCGTCGTGATTTATTTTATTTCTACCTACGTGGCTTTACCGAAAGAACCAAAGAGTATTAACAGACTATATCTGGCTGTGTGGCTTATGTGTCCCTCTCTCCTTTTCCACGATGTGGTGTTGTATTTACATGCAAATTCCATCTCCCGCCCACTTAACCTTGGGCTGAGTTAATCTCAAGCCTATCTGGCTGTGTGGCTTATGTGTCCCTCTCTCCTTTTCCACGATGTGGTGTTGTATTTACATGCAAATTCCACCTCCCGCCCACTTACCCTTGGAGTGAGCTTATCTGAAGCCTATCTGGCTGTGTGGTTTATGTGTCCCTCTCTCATTTTCCACGATGTGGTGTTGCATTTACATGCAAATTCCACCTCCCGCCCACTTACCCTTGGGCTAAGCTTATCTCAAGCTTTCTCGCTATATATAAATACAAAATCACCTGATGACGGTTGCTTGTGTTGTGATCGAAACGTCGTGATCTATTATTTTTTCTACCTACGTGACTTTACCGAAAGAACCAAAGAGAATGCATATATTACCAGAGCATTTTTTTTCATGTTCAACCACAAGTATGTGTGGTTAATGCAGACATGATTCCTTGCAAAATGTTTCTGTTTGGTGTTTTAGCATCTTAACACCCATTTTATTGCCACTCACGTTTTATTGATACTGGCAAAAAAGGTCCCATATTGAAGTTAATGTATGAATGATGAACTTCTTTCACACCGTACGTAGCCAACCATGCTAATTGGAGGTGCGGGGAAGGACAAGCTAAATAAAGTGCATGTCTCATGGCGAGCAGTAATTACATTTTGGTATCGATCTCAGCCAAGCAGTCTTGGTGATACTGCTTAGCTATGCTCAAAGTAGTGAGGACATCTTTATCAACAGCATAATGATGATTCGCACATTCATTATGGACATTGACATTCGCGATTGAGTCAGAGAAGTTGTTTATAAATTTTTCATTTTACCGCAGAGCTTGTCTTGTATGTCTTAATTTTGTAAGTGATTTAGATGGAATTGTTTGATTGGTTTCAATGCTAATTCTCAACGTTGTGGTTGTATTGCAAGTGCTAGTTTGGAAGGGATCAGGCAATGGTTACTCTAACAATCTGCACTATGCATGCCAGGAGTGATCCGTACATCTTTAAGATCGCACCATTGAACAAGGATATAGTTTATGAGATGCCATTGTTTGAAACTTGGCTATATCCATGTGTTATTTATGTTATCTTGGGAGGCAAATAAAGGTGTTTGTAGTCACATGGACTGAATAGGAACAGGACATTGCTATTCGTTTTCCAGTACCAGGAGGTCCAATGATATGATTCCAAGTTGTGGAATTACTTTCAACCCTTTCGTTGACATCTTCCATGGTGATGTCTGTCCCTTTCAGGAATAGACGCGATAAGTGGACTTCTTCTTTCGTATGGTTGATGTAGATGCAGAACAACAACTAGAATTTCACATTTAGGTGGTCAAGTCAGATAAATGCGTGAGGAGCAACGAAGTGTTGTATCACAGATGTCTCCTTCGTATTTGTGGATCAGGCATTTTGTTGATAGATGTTGTAGGGTCTGTTCTGGGTGACCACAGACGCACATTGGGGAGTTTTCAATTTTCCATTTGTGCATCACGTATCTGCATCTGCCATGGTTTGTGCGAATGCAATTTAGGGTGAACAAAGAGCTTCGTGGAAGATCAAACCCAGGGATCTTTTGGGTTGGGTCTTTTACAGCAAGGCGTTTGTTCGTGATTTCTTTTGAACTCCATTCAGCTGTCCAGGCTTTATCGGGGTTGAATGCACATTGTTTAAGGTTACTTGCATGGGTCCAAAAGGGCTTG